TTTTTGTTCTGAAAATATGGCCTCTCTTCCACTCTCTATTCTTTCCTTTTGGGGCTCACTAGAAAAAGTGTTGAGATTTCCAGATCTGTCCTCCATATCCTCTAATCTTAAAAAATAAAATCATCCTATTAAACCTGATAGCTTGAGCGCATGGCCTTTGTCTTTCTCTACTGACAGAGTGTTTGCTCTCTTTCAGGATGTTGGCATCTCTGAGCTGCTTGGTGGTTTCAGGCTGAATGCCCATTTTCTATAAAGAAACGTGCTGTGTCCCCACCCAAATCTCGCCTTGAATTGTATCTCCCAGAATTCCTACGTGTTGCGGGAGGGAACCAGGCAAAGATAATTGAATCATGGAGGCCAGTCTTTCCCACACTGTTCTTGCGATAGTGACTAAGTCTCATAAGATCTGATGGGTTTATCAGGGTTTCCACTTTTGATTCTTCCTCATTTTTCTCTTGCTGCCACCATGTAAGAAGTGCGTGCTGCCTCCTGCCATGATTCTGATGCCTCCCCAGCCATGTGGAACTGTAAGTCCAATTAAACCTTTTTTTCTTCCCAGTCTTGGGTATGTCTTTATCAGCAGTGTGAAAACGGACTAATACAGTAAATTGGTACCGAGAGCGGGGCATTGCTGAAAAGATACCTGAAAATGTGGAAGTGACTTTGGAACTGGGTAACAGACAGAGATTGCAACAGTGTGGAGGGCTCAGAAGAAGACAGGAAAATGGGGGAAAGTTTGGAACTTCCTGGAGACTTGTTGAATGGCTTTGACAAAAATGCTGATAGTGATATGAACAATAAGGTCCAGGCTGAGGTGGTCTCAGGTGAGGATGAGGAACTTATTGGGAACTAGAGCAAAGGTGACACTTGTTATGTTTTAGCAAAGAAACTGGTGGCATTTTGCCCCTGCCCTAGAGATTTGTGGAACTTTGAACTTGAGAGAGATGATTTAAGGTATCCGGCAGAAGAAATTTTTAAGCAACAAAGCATTAAAAAGCAGACTTGGAGCTGTTAAACATTCCATTTTAAAAGGGAAACAGGCCGGGCATGGTGGCTCACGGCTGTAATCCCAGCACTTTGGGAGGCTGAGGCGGATGGATCACCTGAAGTCAGGAGTTTGAGACCAGCCTGGCCAACATGGAGAAACCCTGTCTCTACTAAAAATACAAAAATTAGCCGGGCATAATGGTTCATGCCTGTAATCCCAGCTAGGGAGGCTAAAGCAGGAGAATCACTTGAACCTGGGAGGTGGAGGTTGCAGTGAGCCAAGATTGCACCACCGCACTCCAGCATGGGTAACAGAGCAAGACTCAATCTCAAAAAAAAAATTTTTTTTTTGTTAAAGAGGAAAACAGAGCATAAAAGTTCAGAAAATTTGCAGCCTGATGATACAGTAGTAAAGAAAAACCCATTTTTTGAGGAGAAATGTAAGCCAACTGCAGAAATTTGCTTAAGTAGCAAGGAGCCTAATGTTAATCCCCAAGACCATGGGGAAAGTGTCTCCAGGCCATGTCAGAGACCTTCATGGCACCCCCTCCCATCAGAAACCTGGAGGCCCAGGAGGAAAAACTGGTTTTGTGGGCTGGGCCCAGGGTCCCTGTTCTGTGTGCAACCTAGGGACTTGGTGCCCTGCATCCCAGCCTCTCCAACTGTGACTGAAAGGGGCCCAATGTAGAATTCAGGCTGTGGCTTCAGAGGGTGGAAGCTCCAAGGCTTAGCAACTTCCACATGGTGTTGAGTCTGTGGGTGCACAGAAGTCAAGAACTAAGGTTTTGGAACCTCCACCTCAATTTCAGAACATGTGTGGAAATACCTGAATGTCCAGGCAGAAGTTTGCTGCAGGTGTGGGGCCCTCATGGACAACCTCTACTAGAGCAGTGCAGAAGGGAAATGTGGGGTTGGAGCCCCGACAGAGAGTCCCTACTGGGCCACTGCCTAGTGGAGCTATGAAAAGAGGGCCACTGTCTTCCAGACCCCAGAAAAGTAGATCCACCAACAGCTTGCACCATGAGCCTGTAAGAGCCACAGACACTCAGCATCAGCCCATGAAAGCAGCCAGGAAGGAGGCTGTATCCTGCAAAGCCACAGGGGTGGAGCTGCCCAAGACCATGGGAACCCACCTCTTGCATCAGCGTGAACTGGACATGAGACCTGGAGTCGAAGGAGATCATTTTGGAGCTTTAAAATTTGACTGCCCCACTGGATTTCAGACTTGCATGGGCCCTGTAACCACTTGGTTTTGGCCAGTTTCTCCCATTTGGAACAGCTGTATTTATCCAATACATGTACCCTCGTTGTATCTAGGAAGTAACTAACTTGCTTTTGATTTTACAGGTTCATAGGCAGAAGGGACTTGCCTTGTCTCAGATGAGATGTTGAACTGTGGACTTTTGGGTTAATGCTGAAATTCATTAAGACTTTTGGGGGCTGTTAGGAAGGCATGATTGGTTTTGAAATGTGAGGACATGAGATTTGGAGGTTCCAGGGGCAGAATGATATGGTTTGACTATGTCCCCACCCAAATCTCACTGTGAATTGTATCTTCCAGAATTCCCACACGTTGTGGGAGGGACCCAGGCAGAGGTAATTGAATCATGGGGGCCGGTCTTTCCTGTGCTATTCTTGTGATACTGAATAGGTCTCACACGATCTGAAGGGTTTATCAGGGGCTTCCGCTCTTGCTGCTTCCTCATTTTCTCTTGCCGCCGCCATGTAAGAAGTGCCTTTCATCTCCCACCGTGATTCTGAGGCCTCCCGCAGCCATGCGGAACTGTAAGTCCAATTAAACCTCTTTTTGTTCCCAGTCTTGGGTATGAAGACAGTGTGAAAACAGACTAATACATCCTTGTAATCCCCACATGTCATGGGAGGGACACTGTGGGAGTGATTGGATCCTGGGGGTGGTTCCCCCAGGCTGTTCTCATGATAATGAGTGAGTTCTCATGAGATCTGATGGTTTCCTAAGCATCTGGCATCTCTCCTGCTAGATCTCATTCTCTCTCCTGCCACCTTGTGAAGAAAGTGTCTGCTTCTGCTTCATCCTCTGCCATGATTGTAAGTTTCCTGAGGCCTCCTCAACCAGGCAGAACTGTGAGTCAGTTAGGCCTCTTTTCTTTATAAATTGCACAGTCTCGGATAGTTCTTTATAGCAGGGTGAGAACAGCCTCATACAAAAGGCTTTGGGCCCCAACTCTCAGCACTTTCCAAATGTCTCCTTTTCAGGATATCTGCCGGCGTTGCGGATGATTTACTTTCCTGTTTTCAATTGCTGCTATTTTAAAGTTTCTTTCTATCATTGTCATGATTTTGTGTCTGTGGGGGAAGACATGCCCACTTTTCCATCTGGAAACCAGAAATCCCTTTTAAAACATCTTTAAAGTCTAAGTAACATTGGTTTGTATTCACTGTGTTTATTTTTATAGTTCCTTGCTCTGGGGCATCAGCAGAGCCTTGTGGTTTTGAGTGTGGCCTCGACTCCAGCTGCCTGGGTGTGAGCCCAGCTTTCCCCCTGACAGAACCACACCTTCTCATTGTTTTGTGCCTCAGTGTCCCCATCTGTGGAGTGGGAGACACAATAGCAGACACCACACAGGGTATTGTCAGGGTTGAATGATACGGTTCTGGGTCACAGAGACAGCACAGTACGGGCCTCTGAGAGGGGTGCTTGTACCCACACACTGACGTAAATGGGTCTAAGGAAACCATCGTACCGTGGGAATGACTGAGGTTTAGGAAACCATTTGTTTACACGTGGCTGAATGCAGACCCAGGTCAGGCAGTGACCTGGCACAACCTCCAGGGAATCAGCCTCGGAGACGCAGGGTAAACCTACAGAAGCTCACCCCAGTGGTGACCATCCTCACCCACCACCCACCAGAGCCCACTTGCAACCTTGTCAGGTCCCCTGACTATCTCCAGCCCAGTCCTGGGGTGGCCGGCCCTGCTGGGCCTCGGCCAGGAAGGGAGGAGAGGCTGGAGCTTTGGAGCACTGGCAGGGGCCTGGCCAGGCCCCTAGGAGCTGGGAGCTCTGTAAATGTACAGCATGATAGCATCACTTCCTGGGCAGGGCAGGACCCACCCAAGGGCAGAGGGCAGAGGCAGGCCCCAGTGTGGGGAAGGCCCCACTCTGCACCCACAGCAGAGGCTTCCGCAGCCAGGCACGAGCATTACTCTTGTCTCCCCAGGTCACAGTCTGCCTGTAACCGCCCCCTGCCCAGTAGGAGGTCATTTTGTGTCCAAAGTTCCCTACATCCCGCTGTGTCTAGGTCCTGGCTGGCACCACCTTCACTGTCTTCCCTGCCCACACCTGCAGCCCCAGCTGCCAACCTCACCCATCCCACAGGCTCCCCGATACCCTACTGTCTGCACCGGGTGCTCTCCACTCTGGACAGAGCAATGGAAGGGCAGAAAGCCTTGCCTGTGTGCGTGGAGGCGGGACAGGAGGCGAGCAAGCTCACGTGTGGCTCGTGTAGCAAGTGGCCCAAGGAAAGCATTCCCGGGGAGGTGTGCATGGGACGGGGTGAAAAGCGGCCCCGCAGGGCCCAGCACCAGCCTGGCAGCATTGCGCCCGGCTCCATGCACCTGCCCTGGTGGGTGGCTGCCTCCCCGCCGACCAGGCCTGGTTGCCTGCTTGCCCCACTGACTGCCTCCATCTTCCTGCATGAGCTGGTTTCCTCACACAATCCCCCATACTGGAAATAACAGCCAGGGTGACCTCTGGGTCCTGGCGGCCCCCTGTCCCTCGGCCCCTGGGCAGTGCTCCCACAGCCAAGAGTGACTCCCACGGTGCCCACAGGGGCATGTGGACGACCAAGCGGCTCCTTGTCCCCCACCCTGCCTGGCCCTCCCAGAGGCTTCCTGGCCCCTCAGTGGCTGCTGGGCGTCCCGCACTGTCCCCCAGATGTGGCCTCCAGCCTGCAGGCCCCAGGCAAGCAGCTCACAGGGGACCCGGACAGCCTGGGAGAGATGGTAGGCAAGAAAAGACATCAGGACAGGCAACATACTCGATGCTCAGCGTTTATTTGCAAAACTGGGCTGGGTTGAGCAGAGGGTGCTTTGAGATGCCGACCTCTCTCTGACCTGGCCGTTGTGACCTCAGCCCCGAGGTACCCTGCAGCAGGCAGGCCTAGCGCAGCTTCCTGGCAGCAGCCGGCCTTGCCTGGACCAGCCTGTCTGTGCCCCAGTGGCCGGATGTGGCCAGCCAGAATCCGTGTTGCATGGGGACTCTGGCCATGGCAGGGACACACAGGCCGGCACATGCTTAGCTTGTTCCAGGGCGTCCCAGTGACATCAAGGAGGGGCAAGGCCAAGGTGGGCCACAGGCTCTCCCAGGACAGGACTCCTGAGTGGTGCCCTCCTGAAAGGGGTCCTGCTGGCCCTTCACCCTTCCGGGGTCCGGTTTCACCCACAGGGTGGGCAGCAGGAGCACAGAGGCACGGGGTGCCACACACAGAGGCTGGGGGGCTCCGCAGAGCAGGCCCAAGGTTTTCATGATCGGGCAATGCACGTCCTGGCTCCAGGTGGACAGAGCATGGGGATGGAGGCAGAACATCCTCAGACGGCAGTGGCCTCCTGGGCCAGGAAGCCGGGGGGGTATACGGGAGCCATGGGCGCAGGGACACAGAAGGGCGTGCAGCCACACTCATCCACATGGTTGTAGGTGTGCAGGACAGTCGAGCCGTCGGGACAGCGCAAGGGCACCGTCTCCTCGTGGACCCGCCTCTCCTGGCAGCAGGTGCACTGGTGCTGCATGGCCTGGGCCTCTGCCGAGTACCTGTGGACGCAGGGGGCCCTCACATCGGCCACCTTGGCCCCGCCGTTTCTCTGCCCAGGCACACTGACGCGTGGGCCTCTGGGGTCCTGGGCCAGACGGCCGTCCCCTTCTGTCCACAGTGGCCTGCTCTGTGGGCAACTGGGGCTCCACCTTCTCAGAATGGGCAGCTCTGGGCCCCAGGGTCCCTTGGCTCCCGGCTGTCTTCTGTGGCCTGCTCTTCGCCTGTCTGAACCAGCTCCTCCAATCCTGCTGACTCTGAGCAGTCCTTGACCCTTCCTCCTGCCTCTTCTAGCTAAGGGTCAACCCTCCTGGCCCTTCCTGCTGACAGCCAGCCACAGCGGCAAGTCATGGGGGGCTCTACAGAAGGCTCTGGTTCCGCCCACTCTCCCCCGGGGGACACCTGAACCTGGGTTCGCAGCTGGGAGCTCTGTGCCATGTGGCTCAGCTCAGCCGGGCCCAGGCTTTCTACCGATGGACATGGAGGGGGGAGCCCTGCTGGGGACAGCGGCCCCAGGCTTTCTACCGAGTGCAAGTCATGGGGCTCTACAGAAGGCCTCTGTCTCGCCCACTTCTCCCGGGGACACCTGAACCTGGGTTCGCAGCTGGGAGCTCTGTGCCATGTGGCTCAGCCGGGCCCAGGCTTTCACCGATGGACATGGAGGGGGAGCCCTGCTGGGGACAGCTGCCCAGGCTTTCTACCGATGGAGACGGGATGGAGGGGGGAGCCCTGCTGGGGACAGCGGCCCCAGGCTTTCTACCGATGGACGTGGAGGCAGGGAGCGCTGCTAGGGAGAGCGGCCCCAGGCTTTCTACCAATGGACGATGGACGTGGAAAGGGGGAGCCCTGCTGGGGAGCTCCTTCTGTCCTTCCTGGAGCTGGCGTAGGCCCCCCTGACCCAGAGCAGGGTACCAGCCAACTGACGGGCCAGGGCGGACCCACCGCACTCACCTGGACTCTCCGGGGCAGGAGCCCTCACAGAAGGTGATGTTGACCTCAGTCTTGCAGCCCTGGTGCCACAGGACGGTCGTGTTGACACGGACCTGACAGGAGTCTGGGAGGAGGAAAGGCAGATGCAGAGCCCCACCGGACCCTCACTCTGAGGGCCTGGACCTGCTGGGCCGACCCTCCCCATAGGACCACCCCTCCCCGTAGGACCACCCCTCCCAGGGCCCTCCAGGACTGAGTGTGGAGTCTGGACGCTGGCATCACACTGCTGCCCAGTGCAGACGCCTGGCAGGAATGGATGGGCAGCAATGGGCTGGAGCTGGAGCTCCACTTACCCTCCTCACAGGAGTAGCAGCAGCCGATTTTCCTGAGGGTCCCCTGGGGGGGCCAAAGACAGGGGGCAGGGCTGTGGGCGGGGCCTCCCTCCTGGGGAGAGGGGGCCACCCAGGCAGGGGTGTGGCCTCCCAGACAGGGGCGGGGCCTCTCAGGCAGGGGCCTGGCCTCCCAGGCAGGGGCGGGGCCTCTCAGGCAGGGGCCTGGCCTCCCAGGCAGGGGTGGGGCCTCTCAGGCAGGGGCGTGGCCTCCCAGGCAGGGGTGGGGCCTCTCAGGCAGGGGTGGGGCCTCCCAGGCAGGAGTGTGGCCTCCCAGGCAGGGGTGGGGCCTCTCAGGCAGGGGCGTCACCTCCCAGGCAGGGGTGGGGCCACACAGGCAGGGATGGGGCCTCCCAGGCAGGGGTGGGGTCTCCCAGGCAGGGATGGGGCCACACAGGCAGGGATGGGGCCACACAGGCAGGGATGGGGCCTCCCAGGCAGGGGTGGGGCCTCCAGCACACACCCTGCAGCTGGACACATCTGGGCAGGATGCAGGCTGTGGGGTCAGCAAATAGACTCCGCTCTCGACCTCACAGTGGTATACAGTGCAGTTGTCCACACGGCTATTGACCCAGGTTTCGTTCAGCTGAAATGTAAGGGTGAGAGTGGAAGCTGAGTATCGATGATCTCTTGTGTGGAGCCCTGTTGGGGGTGAGGGTCTCCAGGGAGGGAGCTGAGACCCCACATGCCTCTGCTGTTACCTGGACTGGCGGACCATCGGGCGTGAGGCAGGCGGTCTGCACGCACTCCCCACAGCACTGCCCAGCCACGCTCTTGTACTCAAAGCCCTGTGGGGACAGGAGGGCATCAGGCCTTAACCCTCTCCTCCAGTGCATGCCCCAGCCCAGCCTGCCCTCCTGTCTATACCCCAGTGGCCCAGGGGTCCTTAGCCCTGTCCCTGCCTGGGTCTATACCCGAAGAAGTTGCCCCCCCCAGTTATCCTGGCTCAGCCTCACCCCAGTTTCCAGCACCTTCTCTCTACCTACCCCTGCCTTCCTGGAACCTGATCCCAGACCCTGTCCCCAGCATCCCAGACCCTGTCCCCAGCAGCCTGCAGGTCCTGTCCCACCCCCAGACCCCCTCAGTCATCCTCCTACTTCATGCCCTCCCTTTGGGAACAAAGAAGACCCCAGCAATGGCCGAGCTAGAGAACCCCAGGGAGCTGGGGTAACAGTGACTTGGGGCTGGGTCTGCCCAGCAGCTGTGGGCTCACCTGGGGGCGGGTGCCTCGGGTCTCACCTGGGGGCAGGTAGTAGTGTGGCAAGCGTCCTCCCGACATTGCACCGTTGGGTCCTGGGTGTCCCCAGAGAGGCAGGTACACATGTGGCAGGGAAGGGCCCCTGGGAAGATTGCACCAACCTGCAATGGGTGGGAGGGTGGCACTGAGGGCACCGGTGGGGCACCAGGGCCAGGACTCCTCCCCATGACCCGTTGGGGCCCGCAGGGAGTTGTTCCTTCCTCAAATGGAGCGTGGATGCACCCCTTGCTGAACGTGGACCCAGGCAGGCAGGGAGCCGATGCACACAGGGACCAACACAGGGACCACAGGTGGGCAGGGAATCCAGGCAGGAAGAGACCCCATATGGGCAGGAATCTTGGTGGGCAGAGACCCCGTGGGGGCAGGAATCCGGCGGGCAGGAATCCGGGTGGGCAGGAATCCAGCGGGCAGGAATCCAGCAGGCAGGAATCGGGTGGGCAGGGACCCCGGGCAGGAGTGTGCTGCCCCCAGGCGGTTGCTGGGAGCCCCTGAAGGGACCTCTCAGAGGCAGCAGGTGTGGAACTCACGGCTGTCGATGTCAGGTGCCCCCGAGTCCCAAGCATGTTCCAGCTCTGACCTGCCCAGGGCCCCTGTGCGGATCTGCCCTCATGGCAGGAATGTCAAGACAAGGAGTGGGGCTCAGAGGGCCCCGGGGCATCCCACACACATGTTCAAGTCCCAGGGCCACACCAGCCCGCTGCTGTGCCCTTACCCCATAGAAGATGCCATTGTAGGAACACAGCTGAGGTCCTGGAAAGAAAGGGAGCTGAGCCCACCACAGATGGCAGGGAGCACGTGCCCCAGCACCCCCAGCGTCCTGCACCCACTACCCCTGGGTGAGTGGCCACCCACAGCCCGGCCCCAGTCCCGCCCCAGCCCCGCTCACTGCAGAGGAGGGTGGGACAGCAGTCGCCCTCCTTCTGGGTGCTGATCAGTTCCTGCCCTGGCGGGCACGCAGGTGGGCTCTGGTGGCAGGTGCTTGTGTTGCATACTGCGGGAGGACGGAGGGCTCTGTCTGGGCGTTGCTCACTCCTCCTCCCGACCACTTGTTCCCAGCGTAAGTCGCAGGCGTGCTCTTCCCTGAGGACCTGACTGCTTCACGGCCCCTCGGGGCTCCCTCCAGGCCCCTTGGTTGGCCACCTCCCCCCTGCTTTCCACATCCCCGGGCCACTCCTGGGCAGGCCTGAGGTCACCAGCCTCATCTTTAGGAGGAGAATAATGCACCTGGAGGCCATCTCTGCCGAGTGGTCCTGCCGTGGTCACACCAGGACACGGTGGCTCTCCTCTGCTCTCCTGTGCCCACCCCATGGGCCCCTGGTGGGCACCGGCTCTGTCCCCCGTCACCCTACGCCGGGCACCTCTGCTCCACAGGGTCTTACCGCACACGGTCTCGGGGCAACAAGGGTTGTCGGCCCGGGGCCTGGTCACGGTCATGAAGCCCGGGTGGCTGCACGGTAGGGGGGGACTCTGGGCCTCACAGGGCAGGGGCTTGCACTGCACTGACATTGAGCCCTCATCACACACGCAGGACTGGCAGTTGCTGATCCACTGCTGCCCGGGCTGGAATGGATTGAGGGGGTCCCTGAGGGCTCCTGGACAGGCACAGGTCAACCCTGGGCATCTGTCCAGCCACCCGCTCCCTTGGGCTGGTACCCGAGTGGCCCAGATTGGGGGGGCAGGAAGCCCACACCAGCCACCGACACGTCCATGTCACACTCGGGCGCCCCACAGCTGCCCTGTGGGGTGAGATGCTCCTTCGCTCCCTCCCGAAGCTGCGAGAGGGTGGGGGTAGGGCAGGTGGGGGTGGAGCCACTCACAGATTTGGGAAGCCCGTCAGGTCCCACGCAGGCTGGAAAGGAAACAGCGCGGCGTCACTGAGGGTGCTGAGGTTGCAGGCGGAGGGGCCTCTGGCCACGGGAGGTGCTCTCAGGCCTGGCGCCTGCTTCCCCCATGGGATGGAAGGCCCTGGAGAACTTTCGGGGTGTCAGATGTGGCTGGAGCTCAGGCCAGGGCACCGTGAGACCAGCTGTCAGTGCATGGAAGCCTTGGCCATGATGGTGGGAGGCAGGGCTCAGGCGAGGAACCACCGCAGGATCACACAAGGACGGAGCCTCCCAGTGGGGCTTCAGGGGACCGTGGGGGCTCTGCAGGGCTCAGGGCCACAATAGGGCCATCTTGTGCCTCTGGGGGCACAGAACAGGTCACAGGGGTCCGCTGGGGAGAGGGGAGAGCATGTCGCGGGCCTGGGCGGCCCCTCCCACCCTGCGTGTGCTTGGGTCGGGCCCAGGGTCGTGTCCGGTGGCAGGTGGAGGAGCTTACGGCAGTCCTGCACGCAGGTGTCCGTGTGTGCGCTGAAGAGGATCTGGTCCTTGGGGCAGAAGCAGCCCTCCGCCAGCCCCTCCAGTTGTGGGTTCTGGTTCCTGCAGGGCGACAAGAGAGGCCCTGGGACCTAGAGATCCAGGAGGCCTCCCGGTACTGTCATCCACATGAGTCCCCAATATGGGCAGTGGGGAGCAGGGAAGGAGACGAATGGGTGGAGTGTGGGACTCAGAGTGGGCGGGGTTGGGGACGGGGCTGGGCGGGGCTAAGGGTAGTGGGGGATGGGTGGGACTCGGGGGCGGGGCCAGGTGGGAATGGGGGGCCAGGCCTAGCCAGGGATGTGCCCTCTGCCTGACTCTTGTCTCTAAGGCATCTGGGAGCAGCAGGGGATGTTTTCCAAGGAGTCCTGGGCTCAGGGGCACCCCAGAGATCTGTGACTCACAGCAGGACACCCTCTGGCCTCCTCCTGCTCCCCCCGACCCGTCAGGCAGGCCTGGGTGGCAGGCAAGGCACCAGCCATCCCTGTACTCACCTGGAGTTGCAGGAGGCAGGCTGTATGGGGCCGCACGGCTTGTACACTTTGGTGGGTGGGCAGGTGAGATCTGTGGGCACAGAGAGGTGTCAGACAAGCTGAGAGGTCTGGGGAGCCCAGGGCCACCCCCACTCACCACACAGGCCACTCAGGCTGAGGGGTCCGGGGGGGCCCAGGGCCGCCCCCCACTGACCACACAGGCCACTCAGAGAAGCCGAGGAGTCTGGGGCCCAGGGCTGCCCCCACTCACCACACAGGCCACTCAGGCTGAGGAGTCCGGGGGGTCCCAGGGCCGCCCCCCACTGACCACACAGGCCACTCAGAGAGGCCGAGGAGTCTGGGGCCCAGGGCTGCCCCCACTCACCACACAGGACACACAGAGAGGCTGAGGAGTCTGGGGCCCAGGGCCACCCCCACTCACCGCACAGGCCTCCAGTTGCCCCTCGCCAGTCACTGCACACTCCCCGGGCGCGGCAGAGTGCTGCATAGGCCTCCAGGCTCTGGCAGGGCACCTCGGGGCGGCCCTGGCAGCTGTCGCTGATGCAGGCATTGAAGAATGGGCCCGGGGGCACAAAGTCGTGGCACTCGGCAAAGACCCTGTGGGGCAAAGCAATCAGCATGCCTCAGCCCGGCCCCAGGGAGCTGCCTGCGTGGGGGCAGGCGGGGGCGCCCCAGGGCCTGCAACCCCCCGAGGGGAGGACTCACTGGCTCAGCATCAGATCACAGAGCGGCTGCGGCGGGCACGGGCTGGGGGTGGGTGCACTAGACACCGGGGCCGGGGAACTGGCAGTGGGGGGCGTGCCGGTCGGGGCCCAGCAGCCGTCCTTTCTGCTGTCAGGGACCAACCAAGTTTTGGCCATGTCCTTACAGCTGGCGGCAGTGGTTCCATCCCGCTGGAGACAGTCGTCCCTCTGGTTGTTGGTGCAGGTGCCTGCGGGCAGGGTGTCACCGCAGGGCTGGAATCCGGGGAGCCTTTCACAGCCCCCACCTGCCTCCCCCACTCATTCCCCTCCCCGGGCTTCCCCTATGCTCACTGGGTCGTCAGGCCCAGCAGCAGCCCTGGCCGGGGCAGGACCCGCTGCCCACTCACCGCACTGGCCCTCGGTGTTGTTGTGGAAGAGGCTGTAGGGCAGCCGGGCCTGGAAGACGTGGCCATCGAAGGTGACGCTCACACCCAGGGCAGGAATGTCCACGCGCATGGTGGTGGTCCCCGTCACAGACACAAGCACGCCGTTCTTGCTGAAACCGCTGCTCACCGGAATTTGGTCAAACAGGATCTGGGGGAATCCGGGGGAACCCTGAGCTGGGAGGCAGTGCCAGGTGGGCTCGGGAAGTGGGGCTTGCCTTTGGGGCTCTGCCTTGACGTGCAGAGACCTCCCTGTATATCCCTCACCCCAAAGCCCAGATCTTCCCTGAGGGCCTGGGGTCTCCAATCGACTGCATTTAGGCCACAAAGTGTGCGCAGCCTAAGGCAGCCCCACAGGCCTTCCCTGCCCCCTGGAAGCTGTCTTGGGTACAGGGCCATCACTGCGGCACCTGGGTCATCCAGCCTGCAGTCAGCCTGCCCAGGTGTGGTTGGGACTGGGCCAACACTGTGCCGCCCGCAGCCTGGACTCACCAGGTCCTCCTCCTTCCCATGCACTGTGGTGACGGTGAGGACGATATCCATGGACTTGTAGTGGATGCTGAGGGCGCGGGAGCAGCTGGCGGCAGTGGCAGAGGCCGCGCAGTAGTGGTTGTCCAAGTAGAGGCTGAGATTCCCAAGGCGTGCGTGGATCTGTCTCATCAGGACATAGGTGCAGTTGCCCCCGAAGGTGTAGGAGGTGCCATCAAAGGTGGAATAGTGGGAACTGCCCCACACACTGCAGATGCCTGCGGGACACAGACGGACGGGCTGGCAGGCTCCGTGGTGGTGCCCTCGCTCCCCAGGCGCCATGGCAGCCAGCGTCACCACCGTGACTGCCGCCTCGGGGAGCCACTGAAGCCCTAGGGCCTCAACTGCCTTGTCTATAAAATGGGTCCAGTGTTTGAAATGGTGTCCCCCAAAATCTATGGCCACCCCAGAACCTCTGCATGTGGCTTTGCCGAGAGAAAGCGTCTTTGCAGATGTGGTTAAGGGAAGCATCTTGAAGTGACATCATCAGGGACTAGCTGGGTGGGCCCTCAATCCAATGACCAGCGTCCCCACAGGAGACAGAAGAGACACAGACAGAGAGGGGAGGCCACAGAGAGACAGAGGCGGGGATTGGAGGGATGTGGTCACAGCCAAAGGACACCTAGAGCCCCCAAAGCTGGGAGAGGCAGGAAGGACCTCCCCAGACCCTCAGCAGGGAGCGTAGCCCTGATCTCAGACTTCCAGCTCCAGGACAGAAAGTGTGTTTCTACTGTCTAAGCTCCCCAGCTTGTGGTGGTTTGGAACAGCAGCTCTGGGCCAAGGATGTGGGGAGGAGAGAGAACGCCGTCACCTCTTAGCGACAGGTCCCGCACAGTGATGGAAGCCGCTGTTAGGACCCAGGAGACAAAAGCTCCTCTGGGCTCCCACTTCCATCCTGAGCTTCTCCAGGCCCCAGAAGCCCCTGGATGGGGTCCCTTTCAAATCACACAGGCTGATGTGCAGACAAGCTCAGCAACCTGGCCTCTGCTCCCTCTCCTTTGGGCTGTGTCAGCATTTTCAGCCCTGTGGACACAGAGCCTGCACACTGAGAGCTCACACAACGTGCACCACTGAGGCCCAAGACAGCATGGTACAAGACGGTTTCCTGAAGGGATGCCACCGATCTACCAAACACCCCCACCACGCCCCACCACACCCGCCATGCCCTACTGCACCCCACCATGCCCCATCACACCCTACCGCACCCCACTGTGCCTCACCACGCCTCACCATGCCCCACTGTGCCCCACCGTGCCCCACTGTGCCTCACCACACCCTACCACAGCCCACCATGCCCCACTATGCCCGCCACGCCCCACTGTGCCCCACCATGCCCACTACGCCCCACCATGCCCACCACACCCCACCATGCCCCATTCTGCCAGCTTGGCTGATGGCACCCTCTGCTCCACCTGCCCCCCAGGGGAGTCCCGCTGCTGCCCACGCACTCACACTCGCACTCATAGTGGAAGTCACAGGGCTGGCTCGGGTCCGACACTTTGATGGGCAGGTGCTTGTTCACGCAGGTGACGTTGGCCACGGGCTTTGGGTCCAGCAGGGCGACACGGTTGTCACCCACGCACCTGGCCACCGTGCAGTTCTCCAGGGTCCAGGTCTCATTCACCTGCAGCCGGGAACATGCACGTCCTCACCTGGACCGGCTCACAGGACCCATCCCTTGCCCATCCCACCCCTCGTGGCCCACAGCCCCAGGTGGCCACAAGAGCCTGCCTGGGGAGGGTGGCCCCCATGCTAGCCTGGCCCCCAGACCCTGTGTGCCTCCTCCAGCTGGAGCTACTGGCGGGGGGTCACTGAGTTGGGCCTTGGGAGCTGGACCCTGGCTGTGCCTCCAGTCGACCCAGACCCTGTGCACACAGCAGGGGAGGGTGAGGGCAGGCGGGGCCCACCTGCCGCGGAGGGATGGCATTGTCACAGCCAGGCGCAGGGGAGGGCAAGGGCAGCGGGATGGAGGATGCTGGTGGTGGGGAGGTGGGGCAGGTGCCCTGGAAGCGGTCGAGGTCACAGTGCTGGTTGCACACGGCATAGAATTGGCAGCCAGCTCGGTCTGTCCTATTGTAGATTACTTCCCCTGTGAAGAACAACACCGTAGGAAGATAAGCCACTCCCAGCGACTGGCAAGCCAGAGTCCTGGGGGAGCGAAGGCAGAGGCCACGCAGAAGGGAGCAGCTGTTCCAGGGAGGGACCGTGGAGGGCAGAGACTGAGCGTGGCCAGTGGGGACCAGGTGTGGCCGGGGGAGCCAAGTGAGACCAGTGGGGATCAAGCATGGCTGGCAGGGAGAAAGCAACTGGCTCCCAGGACAGGCAGACCCAGGTTAGCATAGCGTGTGGGGAAAGGCTACAGGAGCATTATCCACGTCCACTCACCAGGTGAGAAGAACTGTCCAAATGCCCTGCAGAAGCAGGGAGTAGAGAAGTGGGAGCTGGGGAAGTGAGTGGGTCTTAGGGTGGTGAGGACTGAGGAGGACACAGTGGACACACTGAAGGCTGGCAGGCTGCTGGAGAGCACTGTGGGGGTGTGGGTGGTCCCCAGGGTGGACGAGCTGGGAACCGTGGAGCCAGTGGCTGTGGGCCTGGTGGCTGTGGTGGTCAGCACTTTGGGGGTGCGAGCTGTTCCCACAGTGGAGGAGGGGATGGCCGTAGACCTAGTGGCCATGGTCGTGGTTGCTGTAGTGGTCCGCACTGGAAGGTTGCCTGTAGTCCCTGGGCTGGAGAAGGGGGTGGCTGAGGAGCTGGGCGCTGTGGGTGTGGTGGCTGTGGAGCCAGTGGCCTCAGTCGGGGTGGCTAGAGTGGTCGGCTCTGTGAGGAACCAAGTTGACGCCGGAGTGGAGGAGGGCGTGGCTGTGGAGCTGGTGGCCACACTTATGGTAGCAGTGGTGGTTGGTTCTGTGTGGATCCCGGTGGTGGTCCCCAAGGCGGAGGTATGGCTGTGGAGCCCATTGGCCACTGTTTGTGATGGCTGTAGTGGTTGGCTCTGAGGATCCCGGTGGGCCCCCAAGTGGAGGAGCGTGGCCATGGAGCTGGTAGCACGGTGCTAGTGGCAGTGGTGGTTGGCTCTGTGAGGATCGGAGGATCATCCCTGGAGTGGAGGGGATAGCCGCTGGAGCCAGTGGCCACAGTTAAGGTGGCAGTGGTGGTTGGCTCTGTGAGAATCAGTTGTCCCCTGGTGGAGAGGAGGAGGGCATGGCAGTGAGCATTGGCCACTGTTGTGATGGATTCTTAGTGGTGGCTCTGTGAGATCCGGTTGTCCCAGTGGAGGAAGGCGTGGCCACCGTGGACCTTGTGGCCACTGTTGTGATTGTTGTAGTAGTCGCTCTGCTGAGGATCCCAGTCGTCCCTGGGTGAAGGCCAGCCCATGGGCGTGGCACTGTTGTGATAGCTGTAGTGGTCAACTCTGTGAGACTGAGGTCTTCCCGGAGTGGAGGAGGGTGTGGCCGTGGACTTTGTGGCCACTGTTGTGATGGTTAGTAGTGGTTGGCTCTGAGGATCCCGGTCGTCCCAGTGATGGAAGGGCGTAGCCGCTAGGCCTGTGGCCACTGTTGTGATGAATTTGTAGTGGTTGGCTGTGAGATCGGCCGCCGCTGAGTGGAGGCGTGGCTGTGGAGCTGGTGGCCACAGTTATGGTGGCAGTGGTGGCTGGTTCTGTCTGGATCTGGTCGGCCCCAGAGGTGGAGGGCATGGCCGTGGACCTCGTGGCCACTGTTGCGATGTGGATTGTAGTGGTTAGCTCTGTGAGATCCCGGTTGTCCCAAGTGGAGGAGGATAGCTGTGGAGCCAATGTGGCCTCCAATTATGGTGGCAGTGGTGGTTGGCTGTGACGATCCTGGCCGTCCCGAGTGGAGGGTGTGGCAGTGAGGCCGTGGCCACTGTTGTGATAGCTGTAGTGGTTGGCTCTGTGAAGATCGGTTGTCCTGGAGTGGAGGAGGGCATGGCTGTGGAGCTGGTGGTCACAGTTATGGTGGCAGTGTTGGTTGGTTCTGCTTGAGGCTCCCGGTCGTCCCTGAGTGGAGGAAGGAGTGGCCATGGAGCCGTGGCCATATTGTCATGACGTGATGGCTCTGTGAAATCAGGTTGATGCTGCCAGGTGGAGGCGTGGCCATGGAGCCAGGCGCCCACGAATTATGGTGGCTGTGGTGCTTGGCTCTGTGAGATCAGGCTAGTTCCTGGGGTGGAGAGGAGGGGTTGGCCGTGGAGCCAGTGGCTGCAGTCATTGCGGTTGTGGTGGGAAAAACTTCTGATGATTTGAGTAGTCCCTGGAGTGGAGGAGGGGATGGCTGTGGAGCCCGTGGCCACTGTTGTGATAGCTGTAGTGGTTGGCTCTGTGAGGATTGCGCGGTGGTCCCCGGGTAAGAGGAGGATGGTTGTGAGCCTGTGGCCACTGTTGTGATGGCTGTAGTGGTTGGCTCTGTGAGGATCAGTGGCGTCCCAGTGGAGGCGTGGCCATGGAGCTGAAGTAGCCGCATAGTAGCAGTGGTGGTTGGTTCTGTGTGGATCCCAGTCGTCCCCAGAGTGGAGGAGGGTATGGCTGTAGGCCCGTAGCCACTGTTGTGATGGCTGCCAGTGGTTGGCTCTGTGAGGATCAGTGTCCCGAGTGGAGGCGTGGCCATGTGGGCTGGTAGCCACAGTTATGGTGTGATGGTGGTTGGCTCTGTGAGGATCGGGGTCATCCCTGGTGGAGAGGGGATGGCCATGGAGCCAGTGGCCACAGTTAAGGTGGCAGTGGTGGTTAGCTCTGTGAGGTCAGTTGTCCCTGAGTGGAGGAGGCATGGCCGTGAGGCCGTAGCCTGTTGTGATGGATGTAGTGAGTCGGCTCTGTGAGGATCCGGTTGTCCCGGAGTGGAGGCGTGGCCGTGGACCTTGTGGCCACTGTTGTAGTTGGTTGCCAGTGGTCGGCTCTGTGAGGATCCCAGTCGTCCCTGGAGTGGAAAGGCGTGGCCATGGGCCGTGGCTACTGTTGTGATGGCTGTGTAGTCAGCTCTGTGAGACTGTGAAGTCTTCCCGGAGTGGAGGGTGTGGCCGTGGACTTTGGCCACTGTTGCGTCTGGTTTGTAGTGGTTGGCTCTGAGATCCCAGTCGTCCCGAGTGGAGAAGGGCGTGGCCGTGGAGCCTGTGGCCACTGTTGTGATGGTTGTAGTGGTTGGCTCTGTGAGGATCCGGGTCGCGCTGGAGTGGAGGAGGCGTGGCTGTGGAGCTGGTGGCCACAGTTATGGTAGCAGTGGTGGCTGGTTCTGTCTGGATCCTGAGTCGGCCCAGAGTGGAGGAGGGCATGGCCGTGGATCTCCGTGGCCACTGTTGCGATGGTTGTAGTGGTTGGCTCTGCTTGAGATCTTGTTGTCCCCAAGAGTGGGAGGAGGCATGGCCGTGGAGCCCGTGGCCACTGTTGTGATGGCTGTAGTGGTGGGCTCTGTGAGGATCCCAGTCGTCCCAGGCCAGAAGACATTGGCCATGGAGCCTGTGGCCACTATTGTGATGAAAGCTGTAGTGAGTGGCTCTGTGAGGATCGGGTCATCCTGGAGTGGAGGAGGGGATGGCCGTGGACCCTGTGGCCACTGTTGTGATGGCTGTAGTGGTCGGCTCTGTGAGGATCGGGTCATCCTGGGTGGAGGAGGATGGCTGTGGAGCCAATGGCCTCAGTTATGGTGGCAGTGGTGGTTGGCTCACGTGACGATCTGGCGTCCCGGAGTGGCGGGTGTGGCCGTGGAGCCCGTGGCCACTGTTGTGATAGCTGTAGTGGTTGGCTCTGTGAGGATCGAGGTTGTCCTGGAGTGGAGGAGGGCATGGCTGTGGAGGCTGGTGGTCACAGTTATGGTGGCAGTACGTTTGAGTTCTGTGAGCTCCCGATGCGTCCCCTGAGTGGAGAAGGAGTAGCCATGGAGCCCGTGGCCACTGTTATCATAGCTGTAGTAAATCAGCTCTGTAGAAGTCAGGTTTGATGCTGGGTGGAGGAGGGCGTGGCCCGTGGAGACCAAAATGCGCCACAGGCCATAAGTGGCTGTATGGTGCTGACTTCCCGATGGAGGATCAGGGTCGGTTTCCGGTGGAAGAAGTTTGGACATTGGGACCAGTGGAGCTTGCAATCCCATTCTGCAGTTGTAGTAGAAAAAGCTTCAGTGATTTGAGTAGTCCCTGGAGTGGAGGAGGATGGCTGTGAGCCACGTGGCCACTGTTGAGTGGCTGTAGTGGTTGGCTCTGTGAGGATTGCGGTGGTCCCGGGTGGAGGGAGGGGATGGTTGTGGGCCTGTGGCCACTGTTGTGATAGCTGTAGTGGTTGGCTCCGTGAGATCAGGTTGACCCACAGTGGAGGAGGGCGTGGCTGTGGAGCTGGTGGCCGGGGTGCTGAGGCAGCGGCGTAGTTGCAGCAGAACACGGATTTAAGTAGTTGAAACACATCTTGAACTTCCCCACCTGCTGACGGTTCCTGCAGACCAGGCCGACGTCCAGGCTGCTCACCACCTGGCCCAACTCACTGCAGAGGACACCAGGCTGGGCACAGGCCGGCACTACGAGGCCCAGGGCTGCTCACAGGCAGCCTCCAGCCGCGGATGTTGGTGTGTCTCCAAAGTCCCGCCAGAGGAGCTAACATGGGAGTAGCTGTAGTCCAGCCAGTCTGACCAGGCACACTGGGGCTCACAGCCCCGTGGAACACCACCAGGGTCGTGGGGGCCGATGTGGGGCTGCTGGGCAGCAGGGTTGAGGTGCGGGTCTCACTGGTTGTGGCCATGGTCCTGGAGGTGGCCGTGGTGAGGCCCAGGGTGGTCTTCCCTGGAGAAAGGGGTGACTCAGTGGTTCTACTGTGAGTGTGAGGACTGGACAGGGGTTGCAGTCGAGTGTGAGGTGGTACGGTGGTTCCCTACTGGGGTTTGGGGAAGTCACTGTGGATGGCTCTGTGATGTAGGTGCTGCCCGAGGTGGCCATGGAAGTCAGGCTGTGGGTACCGTGCGGGGACTCTCCAGGAAGCGCGTTAGCCCATGTGGTGGCCGTGTTCTTGGACAGCACTGAGGGTATGGGTGGTCCCTGGGCAGAGAGAGCCACTGTGGTGCTGGCGGCTGCAGGTGTGGTGGCCATGGTGGTCAGCACAGGGGAGATAGAGTTGTCCTGGGTGGAGGAGGGTGGTGGTGGAGCCTGTGGCCGTGATTGTCGTGACCGTGGTGGCCAGTTCTGGGGGTGTACCAGTGGTCTGTGGGCTAGAGGAGGGTGTTGCCATAGAGCCAGTGGCCACAGTTGTGGTGGTGTTGGTCAGCACTGTGGGGAACCCAATGGTGGTCCCTGGGATGGAGGATGAGGTCACCATGGAGCTGCTGAATTTGTGGGTGTGGTGTTTGTGTGGATCCGCACTGGAAGTGTGGGGAGTGTAGTCCCCTAGGCTGGAGGAGGGAGTGGCTGGCGAAGCCCATGGTTGTGTCGTCAGCACTTTGGTAGGTGTGAGGCTGTTCTGGGGCTGGAGGAGGGGTAGCCATGGAGCCAGTGGCCACGGTTGTGGTGGTGTTGGTCAGCACTGTGGGGGTGAGGTGGTCCCGGGATGGAGGAGGGGGTCACTGTGGAGCCACTGGTTGTGGGTGTGGTGGTTGTGGTGATAAGTGCTGTAAGGGTGCCTGCAGTCCCTGGGCTGGAGGAGGGGTTGCTGTGGAGCTTGTGAAAGGTGACGGCCATGGTGGTCAGCACTTTGGAGTAATGTGAACTGTTCCTGAGAGGAGGAGGTGAGAGGAGGGTGGCCGTGGAGCCAGTGGCCTGGGTTGTGGTGGCCGTGGTGGTTAGCGCTGTGGAGGGTGTGGGTGGTCCTTGGAGTGGAGGGCGTGGGCTGTGGACAGGGTGCTTGGCCGTTGGTGGGTGGTCTGTGCCGGCGCAAGGGTTCAAGTGGTTCTCAGGGAGGAGGACGGGATGGCTGTAAAGCTGGTAGCTGTGGGTGTGGTGGCTGTGCTTGTCTTTACAACTGGAAAGTGGATGCAGTCCCTGGACTGGTGGAGGGAGTGGCTTTGGAGCCAGTGGCTGTGGGTTTCGTGGCCATGGTGGTCAGCAATTCTGAGGTGGCAGCAGTTGCTGGGGTGGAGGAGGGTGACTGTGTGGGACCATTAGCCCAGTTAAGTGGTCAATGTTGTGGTTGGCTCTGTGAGGATCAGGTGGTCCCAGGAGTGGAGGAGGCAGCCGTGGAGCGGTGGCCACAGTTATGGTGTAATGTGGTGCTTAGCTCTGAGGATCCAGGTGGTCCCTGGGGTGGAAAGAGGCATGGCGTGGAGCCTGTGGCCACTGTTGTGGCAGCACAGTGCTCACGCTCTGTGAGGATCCCATTGCGTCCCGAGGTGGAGGAGGGGCATGGCTGTGGAGCTGGTGGCCGGGGTGCTGGGGCAGCGGCCGTGGTGCAGCAGAACACCTGGATTTCGTAGTTGAAGCCTCTTGAGCTTCCCCACCTGCTGACCAGTTTCCTGCAGACCAGGCAGGCGTCCAGGCTGCTCACCACCTGGCCCAACTCCTGCAGGGGGACACAGGCTGGGCCTGGGCCGCGGCGCTGCGAGGCCCAGGGGCTGCTCTGGGGGCGGCCCCCTCCAGCCGCGCGGATGTTGGAAGTATGTCTCAAGTCCCCGCCAGGAGAGGGCCCCAACGTGGGGTAGCTGTAGTCAGCTGACCAGGCACACTGGGGCTCACAGCCGTGGACACCACCGAGGTCGTGGGGGGCCGATGTGGGGCTGCTGGGCAGCAGGGTTGAGGAGTGCGGGTCTCACTGGTTGTGGCAAAGTAATTCCTGGAGGTAGCCGTGGTGAGGCCGGGGTGGTCTTCCTGGAGAATGGGTGACTGTGGTTCTGCTGTGGTGTGAGAGACTGAACAGGAGCTGGAGCAGTGTAGGAGTGAAAATGCAGTGGTTCCTACTGGAGTTTGAGAAGTCACTGTGGATAGCTCTGTGATGTGGAGTGGTGCCGGTGGCCATGGGAGTCCTGGCTGTGGGCCGTGCGGGAGACTCTCGGGGAGCTGGGATCGTCCTTGTGTGGTGGCAAGGTGGACAACACTGTGGGTGTAAGGTGATCCCTAGGGCAGAGGAGGGAGCCACTGTGGTGCTGGTGGCTGCAGGTGTGGTGGCCGTGGTGGTCAGCACTGAGGAGATGGGAGTTGTTGTCCCTGGGTAGAGGAGAATTTGGTGGTGAGGCCTGTGGCGTGATTGTCGTGACCGTGGTGGCAGTGCTGGGGAGTACAGTGGTCTGTAGGCCTAGAGGAGGGGTGTTGCCATAGAGGCAGTGGCCACGGTTGTGGTGGTGTTGAGGTCAGCACTGTGGGGTGAGGTGGTCCCGGGATGGAGGAGGGTCACTGTGGAGCCACTGGTTGTGGGTGTAGTGGTTGTGGTGATAGTGCTGTAAGGTGCTTGCAGTCCCTGGGCTGGAGGAGGAGGTGGCTGTGGGGCTTGTGGTGATGGCCATGGTGGTCAGCACTTTAGAGGTGTGAGCTGTTCCTGAGGTGAGGAGGGTGGCCATGGAGCCAGTAGCCCCAGTTGTGGTGGCGTAGTAGTAAGTACTGTGGAAATATGAGCAGTCTCTGGAGTGGAGGAGGGTCTGGCTGTGGACAGGGTGGCCTTTGGTGCGGTGGTCTGTGCCGTGAGGTTCCAAGTGGTTCTCAGGGAGGAGGACGGGATGGCTGTAAAGCTGGTAGCTGTAGGTGTGGTGGCTGTGCTTGTCAGCACAACTGGAAGGAGTGGATGCAGTCCCTGGACTGAGGTGGAGAGGGAGTAGCTTTGGAGCCAGTGGCATGGGTTTTCGTGGCCATGGTGGTCAAATTCTGGTGGCAGTTCCTGGGGTGGAGGAGGGGTGACTGTGGAGCCAGTGGCCACAGTCGTAGTATGTTGTGGTTGGCTCTGTGAGGATCAGGTGTCCCAGGAGTGGAGAAGTTGGCTGTGAGCGGTGGTCCCTGGGGTGGAGGGAGAGGTTGGCCGTGGAGGCCAGTGGCTTCAGTCTTTGCAGTTGTGGTGGAAACACTTTGGTGTTTGAGTAGTCCTGGGGTAGAGGAGGAGGGGATGGCTGTGGAGCCCGTGACCACTGCTGTGATGGCTGTAGTGGTTGGCTCTGTGAGTATCAAGTGGTCCCAGGTGGAGAAGGGCATGGCTGTGGAGCCTGTAGCCACTGTTGTGACGGCTGCAGTGCTCGGCTCTGTGAGATCCCAGTCGTCCCCAGAGTGGAGGAGGCGTGGCTGTGGAGCTGAGTAGCCCAGGGGGTCGCAGGGCAGCGGCGCTGGTGCAGCAGAACACGGATTGTAGTTGAAAGCATCGCGAACTTCCCACCCTGCTGGCCCAGTTTCCTGCAGACCAGGCCAGCGTCAGGCTACTCCACCACACAGCCCATCCTGCAGGGGACACAGGCTGGAGCCTGGGCGCGGCACTCACGAGGCCCAGGGGCTGCTCCAGGCAGCCCTCCAGCGCGCGGATGTTGGGTATGTCTCAAGTCCGCCAGAGGCCCCCAACGTGGGTAGCTGTGATCCAGCCAGTCTGACCAGGCACACCAGGGCTCACAGCAAATGGACACCACTGGGGTCGTGAGAGGCGTCATGGGGCTCTGCTGAGCAGCAGAGGTTGAGGTGCGAGGTCTCACTGGTTGTGGCCCCATGGCGTGGGTCCCTGGGGAGGTGGCAGATAGTGAGGCCGAGGTAGGTCTTCCTGGAGAAGAGGTGACTCCCAGTGGTTCTGCTGTGAGTGTGAGGACTGGACAGGGCTGGAGTCGGGTGTGAAGGTGGCGCAGTAGTTTCCCTGCTGGGGAGTTTGGGGAAATGCGCTTAGATCGGCTGTGTGATGTAGGTGGTGCCGGGGTAGCCATGGAAGTCAGGCTGTGGGTACCCCGTGCGGGGACTCTCGGGCAGTTTAGGATCAGCCACATGTGTAGTGGCAGTAGTGGACAAGCTCAAAAAGTGTATAAGGTGGTCCCTAAGAAGCAGAAGAACCACTGTGGTGCCGGTGCTTCACAGTGATTAGCTGGTGACCACGTGGTGAAAAATTCAGCACTGAGGGGAGATGGGGAGTTGTCCCTGGGTAGGCAGAGGTGGTGGTGGAGCCTGTGGCCGTGATTCATGTGAAAGGTGTGGTGGCCTGTGCTGGGGTGTACCAGCGGTCACCTTCCAGAGCTAGAGAGGTGTTGCCTAGAGGCAGTGGCCACAGTTGTGGCAGTGGTGTTAGTCGCTTTCAAGCAGGGTGAGGTGGTCCCGGGATGGTGGAGGGTCACACTGTGGAGCCACTGGTTGTGGGTGTGGCCCAGTGGTTTATCCCCGGTGATAAGTGCTGTAAGAGGTGCCAGTCCCTGGGCGGCTGGAGGAGGGGTGGCTGTAGAAGCCACATGGTTGTAATGATCAGCACTTTTTGGTGGTGTGAGCTGTTCCTGGGCTGGAGGAGGAGGTGGCCATGGAGCCCATTGGCCCCAGTTGTGGTGGCCAGAAGTAATTGGTAAACACTGTAGTATAAGGCAGTCTCTGGAGTGGAGGAGAGGTCTGGCTGTGGACAGGGTGTGTTAATTGTGGTGGTCTGTGCCGTGAGGTTCAAGTGGTTCTCAGGAGAGGACGGGATGGCCTGTAAGCCAAGCTGGCTGCTGAGTGGTGGCTGTTGCTTGTCAGCTGTGGAAGAAGTGGATACGTCCACCTGGACTGGTGGAGGGAGTAGCTTTGGGCCAGTGGCTGCATGGGTTGAAGTGGCCATAGTGGTCAGCATTCTAGAGGTGGCAGCAGTTGCTGGGGTGGAGGAGGGTGACTGTGGAGCCAGCGTCTGCTTACATTAGTGAGCCAATGTTGTGGTTGGCTCTGTAGGAGATCCAGGGTGGTCCCAGGTGGAGAGAGAAGTTGGCATTGGAGCCGGTGGTCCTGGGGTGGGAGGAAGAGAGTTGGCGTGGAGCAGTGGCCTGATCGTTTTTCAGTTTGTGGTGAAACACTTACTGGTGATTTGAGTAAGTCCTGGGGTGGAGGAGGATTGGCTGTGGGCCAATGACCCTGCTGTGATGGCTGTAGTGGTTAGCTCTGAGCATCCAGATGGTCCCGGGTGGAGGAGGGCATGGCTGTGGAGCCTGTAGCCACTGTTGTGGCAGCTGCAGTGAGTGGCTCTGTGTGAGGATCCCAGTCGTCCCGGAGTGGAGGAGGCATGGCTGTGGAGGCTGGTGGCAGGAGTGTAACAGGCAGCGGCCGTAGTGCAACAGAACACCACAGTTGTGAACTGAAACTGTCTCCCAGGCGCCCCACCTGCTGGCGGTTCCTGCAGACCAGGCCGGCGTCCAGGCTGCCTCCACCACCTGGCCCAACTCACTGCAGGGGACACCAGGCTGAGCCTGGGCGCGGCCTCGAGCCCCAGGGGCTGCTCTGAGCGGCCCCTCCGCGCGGGGTGTTGGAGTAGGTCTCCAAGTCCCCGCCAGAGGGCCCCAACGTGGGGTAGCTGTAGTCCAGCCAGTCTGACCAGGCACTGGGGCTCACAGCCCGTGGAACACCACCGGGGTGCGTAGGGAGGGCGATGTGGGCTGCTGGGCAGCAGGAGGGTTGAGGTGCGAATCTCCTGGTTGTGGCCGTGGCCATGGTCCTGGAAGTGGCCGTGGTGGGAGGCCCGGAGTGGTCTTCCCTGGAGAAAGGAGGTGACTCAGTGGTTCTGCTGTGAAGTGTAGGGCTGGAACAGGAGCTGGAGTCAGGTGTGGGAGGGTGGTACCGGTGGTTTCTGGGTTTGAAGTCACTGTGGATGGCTCTGTGATGTGGGTGGTGCCGAGGTGGCCTGTGGGGGAAGTCCAGGCTGTGGTACGTGCGGGGCTCTGGGGCAGTTGGATAGCATGTGTGGTGGCCATGGTGGACAGTGCTGGGGGTGTGGGTGTTCCCTAGGGCAGAAAGGAGGAGCTTGGTGCTGGTGGCTGCAGGTGTGGTGGCAGTGGTGGTCAGCACTGGGGAGATGGGAGTTGTCCTGGGTGTGGAGGACCGGGGTGGTGGTGGAGCCCCCTCACCAAGCACGTGGAGATTATTAGCATTAAGAAGTGGTGGCCAGTGCTGAGGTGTGTACCAGCGGTCTGTGGCCAGAGGAGAATTGTTTGCCAACCAGCCAATGCAGCACAGTTGTGGTGGTGTTAGTCAGCACTGGCCGGGGGTGTGGGTGGTCCCTGGGATAGAGGAGAAGTCCGCAGCGGGCTGCACTGGTTGCGGGTGTAGTGGCATTGCCCGGGGTCACTTTCAGAGTGTGGTGCCGTCCCTGAGCTGGAGGAAAGTGCAGCTGTGAAGAGCCATGGTTGTAGTAGTCAGCACTTTGGTAGTGTGCGGGCTGTTCCTGGGTGGAGGAGGGGGTGGCCATGGAGCCAGTGGTCGGTTGTGGTGGCCGTGGTGGTAAGCACTGTTGGATATATGGGCAGTCTCTGGAGTGAGGAGGGTCTGGCTGGCCAGACATGGTGGCTGTGGAGTGTGATAGTGCAGCTGCTGTGAGGTCGGGTGGTCCCCACTTAGAGAAGGATGAAAACATGAAAGCTGTGCTTCTGTAGGTGTGATATGTGCTACATCATTCTGCTGGAAGGAGTGGGTGCAGTCCCTGAACTGGAGGAAGGTAGCTTTGAGCCAAGTGAATGTGGTGTGCGTGGTTATGGTGAGTGCTTTGTTGTGGTGGCAGCAGTTGCGAGGTAGAGTGAAAATTGCTTTGGAGGTGGTGACATAGATGCATGATAATTAAGTGGTAGATCACTTTACACCACAGTGTAACTACTTACCTTGCTGCGAAGAAGCAGTATACTGGAAACCATTAAACACTTGATATATTGGCTTTAAGTAATTTAATATGGGCAGTCTCTGGAGTGGAGGAGGGTCTGGCTGTGGACATGGTGGCTGTGGGTGTGATGGTCTGTGCTGTGAGGGTCCAGGTGGTCCCCATAGAGGAAGAGGGGATGGCTGTAAAGCTGGTAGCTGTGGGTGTGGTGGCTGTGCTTGTCAGTGCTGGAAGGGTGGGTGCAGTCCCTGAACTGGAGGAGGGAGTGGCTTTGGAGCCAGTGAATGTGGGTGTCGTGGTTATGGTGGTCAGCACATTTGTGGTGGCAGCAGTTGCCGGGGTGGGTGAGGGGGTGGCTTTGGAGGTGGTGACCATGGTTGTGATGGTCGTGGTGGTCAGCACTTTTGGGGTGTGAGCTGTGCCTTGGCTGGAGGAGGCAGTGGCCATGGAGCCAGTGGGCATGGTCATGGTGGCTTTAGTGGTTGGCTCTGTGAGGATCAAGGTGGTACCACCCAGGGTGGTACCAGTGGTTCCTGCTGGGGTGTGGGAAGTCACCGTGGAGCTGGCAGCCGCAGTTGTGGTGGCTGTGGTGGTCAACCCTTTGGGGGTCTGAGCAGTGCTTGAGGTGGAGGAGGGGGTGGCTGTGGAGCTGGTGGCCTGGGTTGTGATGGCTGTGGTGGTCAGCACTTTCACAGTGTGAGCTGTTCCTGGGGTGGAGGAGTGCCTGGCTGTGGCGCCTGTGCTCCTGGGTGTGGCAGCCGTGGAACCGGTGCTCATGGGTACGGTAACTGTGGATCCGGTGCTCGTGGGAGTGGTAGCCGTGGATCCGGTGCTAGTGGGAGTGGTAGCCGTGAATCCGGTGCTCGTGGGAGTGGTAGCCGTGGATCTGGTGCTTGTGGGAGTGGTAGTCATGGATCCGGTGCTCGTGGGAGTGGTAGCCGTGGATCCAGTGCTCGTGGAAGTGGTGGCACAGAGGCTGTCATCACAGCACAACAGCCGCACATGAAAGTTGTGGCAGTACCACAGGGGCCCAGACTGGTCACGGTTCCTACACACCAGCCCAATGCTCACGTCACATTGCACCACCTGCCCCAGGGCCTCCAGGGGTTGGTTGGGCTCCTTCTCAGAGCGGCACTCAATGTCCCATGGATGCTCGCAGAAGGTATGGCCAGCAGAGCGGATGACCCCAAAGGTCTCAAAGTCCCCGCCATCAGGGTCAGAGCTGGGGTAGTCCTCATCAAACCAGTCTGTCCAGGTGCAGCGAGGCACACAGCCCGTGCTGGGAGATGGGGGGCCAGAGGACAGGGTCGTCCTGATGGTGGGCCCAGAGCTGGAAGTCCGCAGGGTTGTGTGCACACGGGCAGTCACCATGGGGGACGTAGTGGGAGTGCTGGTCACAATTGGACTGGTGGGCATGGATGGAGCCTGGGAGGTCTGCTGCCCCCTGGTAGGGAGGAGGCTGGCAGTGGAAGGTGGAGGGGCAGAGGGACTGGGGAGGGACACCCTCTCTGTGGTCTTGGAGAAGCTGGGGCCAGTTTGAGTGGTGGCCAGAGTTGAGGATCCTGTTACTGCTGGTGACTTGGTGCTCCAGGTTGCAATGGCTGTGGAGGCAGTCGCTGTGGGGCTGGTGGCCCCCACGGAGGTGACTCTGGGTGCCTGTGTGGAGGAGGTGGGCGTGGGGGCGGCTGTGCGGGGGCAGTGACTGTAGTCGTCACAGCAGAGCACACGCACATTGTAGTTGAAGCACATGTTGAACCTGCCTGTCTGGTCCTCATTCTTACAGATCAGCCCCATCTCCAGGCTGCAGGTCAGCACCTGCCCGATCTGGTCGATGCTTACCTCGGGGTAGTTCTCTGCCCGGCACTCTATGCTCTTTGGTGCCCAGCACATCTTGCCCCCAGCAGCCCTGATGTTTTCAAAAGTTTCCATGTCCCCACCTGCGACCCCTGAGGTTGGGAAGTCCACGTCGAACCACTCTGTCCACTCACACTTCGGTTGACAGCGGGTAGTGCTCTGGCTAGTGGTGGTCTCATTCAAGGGGCTCAGCGTCATCTCTGTCCCGGGGGTGCTGGTCTCGGCCTGAGAGGTTAACAGATTGCTCGAGAGTGTCGGCGCCAGGCTCGTGGTCAACGGCTGTTTGGAGCCGGAGCTGGCTGTGCCTGTCAGGTGAGCTCTGGAGGTTGCCATTGTCGTTGGGGCTGACGTGGGTGGCTGTGAGGGACGCCATGTGCCCGAACTCCCCGTAGTCCCTGGCAGGACTGAGTGTGTTGGAAGGCTGGATGTGGCCACCCCTGGGACAGTAGGTTCTGTGGAGCCTGCAGGAACCGTGGGGCCTCTTGTGGTGGCTGTACCAAGGGTGCCCGTGTATCTGGGGGATGTCAGTCCTTTTGAGAGGGTGGGGACTGCTGTGGTGCTGGTCACCCCCAGGCTACTTGTTGACTGCAGCGTTGAGAACAGGACCTGGGTGGTGGTGGTGGTGGTGGCCGTCTCCAGCGATGTGGCTGGTGGTGGGGTCGTGGCTCGTCCCCTGCAGTGGTCGGCACTGCAGCACAGGACCCGGATCCTGTAGTTGTAGCACATCTTGAATATGCCCTCCTGCTCCCAGTTCCTGCACACCAGGCCGAAGCGGACGTCACAGTGCACCTTCTGCCCCACCTGAGCCAGGGGCCAGTTGGGGAAGCTCTCGGCCTGGCACTCTATGTCCTTAGGCTGCTCACATAAGTGCCCTCCTGCGGCCCTGATCTTATCGTAGGACTCAACGTCCCCTCCAAGTTGTTCAGACTTGGGGTAGTCCTCATCAAACCACTCTGTCCACTGACACCGGGGCTGGCAGGTGGTGGTACCTGGGGCCAGGGAGGTGACCGTCGTGGGGCCTGAGCTGGACCCAGTCTGTGAGGTGAGGGCCGCTGTTGACTGGATGCTCGGGATCACCCACAGGGTGGTCTTTTCGGTTGCTGTGGTCTGGGTAGGGGTAGGCACAGCAGGCTCCGTGCTGGCACTGAGGGAGGGCTGGGGGCTGGTGCCTGGGGCCAGGGAGGGGCCACAGGGCACGTATTCACAGCAGAGAACCCGCAGCTCATAGTCGTGACAGAGCGGGGGGCTCTGCTGGCTGTTGGCGCACATCAGCCCCCTCACGCGGTCACAGTCCACCTGCTGGCCCAGCTCCCCCAGTGGCATGTCAGGAAGCTGCCCTGCCCGGCACTCGATGTCGGCTGGCACAGGGCACACCTGGTACCCTCTCTGCCTCAGGTTTTCAAACGTCTCGAAGTCTCCACCTCCCAGACCAGGCTCTGGCTGGTGCCCATTGTACCAGCTGGACCAGCGGCAGACCTCGCGGACACACACGGTGGAGACCGGGAGGGCCGGGCCTGCAAGGGGCGTGGGAGAGGGGTCCTGGCTTAGCATCCTCCAGTCCTGGCCTCACAAGGTGGAGGAGCCCCAGAGGACCCTTGTCCCAGGGCTGGCCCTGCCCCTGTGGGATACTGGGGACCCCAGGTGCCTGCCTTAGCCTTGGTTAGAGCCGTTTCTGCATGAGGGACTGGAGCCTGGCAGCCTGGCCTTGAGGGAGCTGGCCAGCTGGGATAGGCCATGCTGAGGGATGGGACAGAGTCTGGGAAAGCTTTACTGCCTCCCTGGGTTATCCCATCAATCATTGTGCAGAGGCTTCCTGGGGAGCCCCTGAAGACACGCAGGGTGTTGGGGGGGCTGTGCACCCCTAGACAGAGCTCGGCAGGACAGTGGATTGGGACTGTTGCTATCATTCAGGGCACCTGCATCAAGAGCCCAGGGGTTCCCTCCTTGTCACCCAGACATGACCGGGCCTCAGGAGAGCCAGGCAGGGCTTACTTGTCATGGAGTGGGGGACCCAGCTAGTGGTGAAGGTGAAGGGCGTTGTGGCCGGAGTTCCAGGACACACCACAGCCTTCCTGACGATGGTGCCGTTGCTTCCACAGATGGCGATCAAACAGGCACCAAGCCCATCGGTGGTGTTGTAGATGACGTCCTGGTAGCCGTAGGTCCTGTCCTCATAGGTGCAGGTGCAGGCTGGGGATGGAGCCGGCAGAGTCACCCGGTGCCTTCGAGCCCCTGGCCCCGGACCTCACCACTCCCCCACTCCCCTGGCCCTTCCTTACCCTCAAGGCTGTGAGCGCACTGGATGCCACCGGGTGTGCAGTTACTGGGGGTGGGGGAGAGGTGAGCTGAGGGCCTGGGGGGCAGCCTGAGGGGCCTGCTCCCCAGCCCTGCTCCCCCAGCGCCACCCGCTCCCCACCCCCTCACCAGCTCTGGCAGTTCTCCGCTGTGGGGACTCTTGCGCCAACGTCATAGTAGTTTCCATCCCTGTCGTAGCAGCCACACTGGGCCACGCACTTCATCTGGTCCTCATTGAAGAAGGGCTGGCTGGGTGGGCACTTCGGGTAGCAGCCTAGGGCCGGCAGAGTGAGCAGAAGACTCACCACAGCCCTTAGGTCTCTCCAGCCAGGGACACCACGCTGTAGGGAGTAGCCGCCCCCACCAGCCAGCAGGGGCCTGCCCTCAAGGTTTGCACTGTGCAGTTTAAGGGAGCCTACACCCCGCCCCTGGGGAACCCCAGCCGCCCACGTACACTCAGGAACCCAAGGATAGGAGGCTCCATCCATGAAAGGCTGCCCCTCACCTTCCAGGCCAGGCAGGTCCACCAGGCAGTGCCCACTGGGGTTCCGGCAGGTTTTTAGGCAGGGTGCCCCACAGGGCTGGTAGTGCCACTCACAGCCCCCGTGTGGGTTGTAGAAGTCACAGAACAAAGCTGGGGCACAGAGGGCGGAGGCTAAGGAGGCGCCCACTGGCCCTCACCCTTGTTGTGAAGGGCAGCCCCCACCCCGGGTGTGGGGGCCGGTGTCCCCAGGGCCAGACCCAGGCTTGTCCCAGACATGCAGGGTCTTGGGCCAGGTGGTGCCTCACCTTCCCCTCACTCCCCAGCCCTGCCCTTGGAACTCCTGTCCCCTAGGAGCCGTCTCGTGCTGGGGTGACCTGTCTGGTGGTTTTGCACAGGTCTGTCTCTGTGCATAGGAACGTGTGCACTCACATGGAGGCACATGCGTGTTGGATGTCTGTGCGTGGCTCAGGCCCAGGTCAATGCACCTACAGAGGCTGCCACACCTCCTCCCCTGCCCCGGCTGCTCCACCCTTCAGCACCACGGACAGAGCCCGACTCACGGCAGGTGTCCGGAGTCCGCCAGGACACACACAGGCCCGCGTCGTGGCAAGCCTGGGCGTAGGCAGCCACAGCCGTGCAGAAACACTCGCAGTCACCGCCCGAGTCACAGGCACACGCGTCGTTCACGCAGGCCTCGTAGTACTTGGTGGAGTCAACCTGGGGGTGAAGCCAAGGTGCGGCTCAGCCAGGCCAAGGTCCCCCCCAGCCAGGGGGTGGCTGGCCCAGGGCCAGTTGCTGGAACCATTTGTATTTCAACACTCCCCATGGCAGCTCTCTGAGCTCCCTGACTCCTGGGTCCTGGAATACCTCAGAGCATGCCCCAAATAGGAGCTGCCCCAGCACCACTTCTCCAGCCCACCTGTGCCCTTTTCCAGCTATATCCCTGCCCACCTGCCCACCTGTGCACCTGCCCACCTGTGCACCTGCCTACCTGCCCACCTGCCCGCCTGCCCACCTGTGCACCTGCCCACCTGTGCACCTGCCTACCTGCCCACCTGCCCACCTGCCCACCTGTGCACCTCTCCATCTGCTCACCTATGCACCTGCCCACCTGTGCACCTGTGCATCTGCCTGCCTTCACATGTGCTCTTTGGATCTTTCTATCATGTGGATCTGGTCATGTGGCCTACAGGTTTCAAACCCACGTGGAGGATAGCACCCCTGCTCACCCTCTGCCCTCACCCCCACCTCCCTCCGCTGCAGTTGTACTGGCCTCCTTTCCACCTGGGGGCCTTCCCTCCAGCCGACCCAACCCCGTGGTGACCCCCGCCCAGGGCCCTCCAAGTCCAAGCAGCCAACCACCCAGCGCCCACCACGCTGCTGTCTCCTCTGGAAGCTCTGTGAGGGTCGGCCTTGTCCCCTGGGGTGACGAGGGGTCACTGGGGTGAGCCCAGAACATGCCAGGCTCTTCCAGGCACCCAGTGAACGTGCACTAAGGAAGGAGCGGTCACTTCCTTTCCAGACCAGCCACGTAGGGAGCTGAGCTGTGAACCTGTCCTGACCATGGGGAGCTGCCTGCTTCCTCGAGGCAGCCCGCACCCCTTCCAGGCCCCATCTGAACCTGGCTCAGCTTTGTCAGGCCACAGGACCTTCCAAGGGGACACCAGCTGCCTTCTCAAGAGGGCAAGCGGTGGCCAACGTGAGAATGCTTCAGTGTGCCCACTGCTGCCCCTATGCCAGCCCCTCACCTCAGCTCCTGACTGCCATGCTGTGTGCCTAAGTGGGCACTCAAGTCTTCCTTAAGATGACAGGAAACTGCTTTTTTGTTTTTTGGTGTTTTGTTTTGAAACAGTCTCTCTTTTTGCTCAGGCTGGAGTGCAGTGGCGCGATCTCGGCTCACTGCAACCTCCTCCTCCCGGGTACAAGGGATTCTCCTGCCTCAGCCTCCCGAGTAGCTGGGATTATAGGCACACACCACCACACCCGGCTAATTTTTGTATTTTTAGTAGAGACAGGGTTTCACCATGTTGGCCAGGCTGGTCTCGAACCCCTGACCTCAGGTGATCCACCTGCCTCAGCCTCTCAAAGTGCTGGGATTACAGGCGTGAGCCGCCGTGCCCAGTCAGGAAACTGCTTTTTGGAAGTCTCTGCTTAAGGCTGATCTGTGATTCCTCCCTGGCTGGGCGGGGAGCCAGGCTGGCGTTCCAGTTTGTGCTGAGGATTGGGCAGGTCTAGTGATCATAGAGGAGGGTGGTTGGGGCCACATCGAGGGCTACCCCTCCCTGTGAGCCTCTGGGTGCGGCTGAGGCTGTGGTCAAGGGAGTGGCTGGGAAACAGCCGAGATGGCTTCGTGCCAGGGGCAGGAGGCACAGGTGCGGGGCTGATGGGAGATCCAGACTTGGGACCTGACATCCAGGACCGTGTGCCGTGGGACATGGTCAGACCCTCCTTGGAGCCCTGCTGTGTGCCCAGAAGACCCAGTTCTCGGCAGGAAGGAAGCAGCTGCCGTCCCCACCAGACCCTGCCTGCCAAGACCAGAGCCCCACCTCGGAGCGGCAGGCGGCGAAGGTGGGGCCGTGGAGGATGCTGCACTGCTTCTGGGCCCAGGACTTGCGGAAGGGGTTGGCCGTGCAGGGGTCCTTGGGCGCCAGGGCGTCTGGGCAGGATGGGGAGAGCTTCCAACTGTTCCCAAACTCCAGTGCGTCCCCCACCACGGACCGGCTACGCGTGGCAAAGTCATTGATGGCGTGGTCGTCAAAGTTCCCGCACAGGCCGCAGACCCTGCCCTGCAGAGGCAGCAAGAAAGTGGGGCCCTGGAACTGGGGCCACAGGCACCCGTGGGAGGCAGCACAGAGCCCGCCCTGGGGTCCAGAGCCCTCGGGGGATGGAGGGAGGGCAGCCGGTTCCCCAGGCAGTGCCCGATGAACTTGCAGGGGACAGGTGTGCAGTGGGTCCGTGGGTGGGCTGCTGGGTGGCACTTGCTCCCCTGTGAAACCCTCTGGCCACTGTGGAGACCACAGGCAGGGCCCTCACCAGCCAGGCTCATGTACCCACAGGTCAGTGAGTCCCACAGGCCCCACTGGGCACTGGGGTTTCTGTTGCTATGAGAGGGTCCTGCAGTGCCGAGGAGTGCACGGCCCGAGCTCACCTTGTAGTCCTGGTGCAGTCGGATGAACACGCTGGTCTTCCGGTCCCAGGACACGGCCATCCCACGGGTCTCGATGACCAGGAAGATCCCCATGTAGCGGATCTTGTAGGGCGGGTCCCCTCCCGGCCCCCTCGCCACTGCCTTAAAGGCGCCCTCCTGAAGGATCAGCTCGTAGCTCTGCAGGGGAGGCAGACGAGGCCGTAAGCTGACCCTGTGGCCCCTGGGGAGGGGCCTGAGACCCGGGGATGCCCCACCCAGTACAGGGCCCTGCAGGTGCGCACGGGCTCTTGGCACAAGGGGCTGGCATTAGGAATGAGCTGGGTCCATGAGACCCTCAGCGAAGGTTTGGCAAGAGGCTGGCCAGGAAGTGCTGGGAACAGGGGCTGCCTGGGAACGCTGGGGCCGCACGGGAGCAGCAGAGGCCGCAGTGGGCCTGCTTCACCCCACCCTGCTCCCTATCCAGCCCTGCATGCAGCCCCCACGCCCCCACGCCAGCTTCCCCGATCCGCGGTGGTCCTCAGCCCCTCTCGCCATGTGCGGGGAGTGTCCCAGCCAGTGGCTCTTTTTCCCCGGGAGCTCTGGCCCCCCTTTGCTGGAGTGGGTGTCTCTGGGTGTGGCAGGGTGAATGGTGGCTCCTGAAAATGTCTGTCCACAAACGAAGTCCCAGAACCTTGGCCTGGGGCCTCATTGGGAGAAAGCGTCTCTGCAGATGGGATTGGGTGAAGCATCTTGAAATGAGGTCGTCCTGGACTACCTGGGGGGACCTAAATCCAAGGACCAGTGTCCTTACAAGAGACAGAAGAGAAAAACAAAAACAAAAAGAGAAGACAGACAGAGACACAGCGGGAGGTCACAGGCAGCCGCAGCCCAGGGACACCTGCAGCCCATGAAGCTGGGAGAGGCAGGAAGGACCTCCTCAGACCCTCAACAGGGAGTGTGGTCCTACCCGCCTGGATCTCCGACTTCCGGCTCCAGGACTGAGAATGCATTTCTGTTGTCTAAGCCCCCTGGTTTGTGGCTGTTTGAAACAGCATCCCGGGGCCAGGACACTGCTGAGAACCTGTGGGTGCAGCTGAAGCCCCACGAAGCTTCCCTGGGGGCCGGCTCGCTGGCTGCAGGGTCAGGGGGCTCACAGCCGGGGCCGCTCTCACCTCCACGAAGAGCTTGATGGCCTTGGAGCAGGTGGTGCCGGTGGTCCCACAGGGGATGTTCTCAGTGACGATGCGGAAGGTCCCGTGGGTGGCGTCGTCCCCACAGTAGTCCTGGGCCAGGAAGAGACAAGCTGCTGGCCGCGGGCCAGAGCGTGCCCGGCCTGCAGGAACAGGCGAGGGGGCGGCGTACCTGGGCCAGGATGTACTCGCAACTGCCTTCAAAGTTGTAACGCTCGCCATCAAAGGTGATGAAGTGGCCGTCCCCGTAGGCCACGCAGGTGCCCAGGCAGAGCCGGTGGCTGCACTCCCACCTCCGGTTCCTGCAGGTGCTGCGAGGGGCCAGGGACGGTGCCTGCTCACAGGGGCCTGCCCTCCTGGCCTTCCTGAGACCCGGCACCCAGGCCTGTGCAGGTCAGCACACGGCCTCAGCCTCCCCAGGCCCAGTCTGACCCGTCCTCGGTGGAAGGGGTGGCGTTCCCCACTGTGAATGCAGGGCACGCAGCCCCACCAGGCTCCTGGTAGCACCACTGTCCCTGGGTCACCTTCCAGAGGACGCACAGGATGGCCCATGGCTTTCCCAGCAACTCTGTCTCCTGTCATGACCCCATCTTGCCCTGGCCAGCTGGCCCCCTGCCCTCCCCACCCACTGCCCTCCCTGCCCCCTGCCCTCCCTGCCCGCTGCCTCCAAGGGACCCACAACCCACCAGGTGTTGCAGTCGACCCTGATGGTCTCTCCAGGCTTGTAGGTGGCCTCGTTGTGCACACAGGGGCAGTCCTCCTCGGCGATGCAGCCCCCACTCCCGTCTGACACCAGCCCCGGTGGACAGACACAGCCGGACACGCAGTGTGTGCTGAACTGTGGGGCCCAGGCCAGTACCGGTCAGGGCCGGACACCAGGGTAGGCAGATGCCACTCACCCTCTGGGAGAGGTGCACCCAGTGGCCCCCAGGGCAATTCATGGGCCGGGGCGGAGCTTCTGGGTGGGTAAGTGTCTCCAGGACCACCAGATCCCTGGGCTCGGGAGCCCACCCCTGCCCACCCCTCCCTGAAGCACGAGACAGCCGGGGCCAGGAACTCACACAGCCCACGTCCAGTGTGTGGCAGCTCCGGAGGCACTCGGCCCCAGGGGTGCCCGCCAAGCTGTTGCTGCAGTTCAGGTACACCATGGGGGCCACACACCCTGGGGGCAGAGCTTGGTGGGAGGGGTTCTGGGGAAGGGCAGCCCTCGACTGACCCTGGGCAGCCCTGAGCCTGTCCTGCTGGCCAAGCTAGCAGCCAAAGCTTCCATGAAACCTGCAGCCCCCAACCCGAGGACACCCCGGCCACACTGCGGGGCAGACCCATTGGCTCCTCTGTCCCTGGCGTGTCGGGGCATGGGTGCCTGTGGCAGAGCCCAGGTGAGGACTGACCTGGTCCGGCAGGGCTCAGGTGGGGTGGGGCGGGGTGGGGTGAGTCGGGGCGAGTCTGGGCGGGGCTGTGCGGGGCTGTGCGTGGTGGGGCGGGGCTGTGCGTGGTGGGGCGGGGCTGTGCGGGGTGGGGCGGGGCGGGGCGGGGCGGGGCGGGGCGGGGCGGGGAGGGGTGGGGCGGGGCTGTGCGTGGTGGGGCGGGGCGGGGAGGGGTGGCACTTACCTGTGCTTTTCTGCAGAGAGGCTCCCAGGCAGCTCAGCTTCCCACCCTCACACGAACTACAAGAGATGGATGGCCCGGCCTGGACCTGCGGCCCTCACCCCACAGACCCCACCCCAGGCTCTCGAGCACCCACGGAGCGCTGGGCCTCCCCAGCCTGGCCTCCTCCTCATGAGACCGGACGGTGCCTGCCACTGTTCGCTGGGAGCCCCCAGATCCCCTGGAGGCGCGTGGGTAAATACACACAGGTGGGCAACAAAGCAGCCAGGACCCTGCGGTTAGGAGCAGCCTTTGAACCCGGGGTGGGAGTGGGGACCACCCATCTTTCCTGGCAGGGGCTGCTCTTTGGACCCAGCTGAGAACAGCCAGCAGGCGTCCTCCCAGGGCCACCTCCACTCCTGGCCTCTTTCCCAGCCGGGCATTTTCTCTTTAGAATGTGCTGGGTCCACCCTGTGCCGCCCTCCCCAGCCTGGCCCCTCGTGTCTCAAAACCCTCGGAGGGGGGCACAAAAGCCTTCGGGGAGGGTGAGAGGTGGCTTTGAGGAGCACTCAGGGACCTGCTTTCCCCCCTGCCCAGCCCCTTACCACACAGCGCCTTCGTCGTGCACGACCTCTCCGGGAGCCAGCACGGTACCGTGAACATAGCAGGGGCACTCCCGGGCGGGCACACAGGCCCCCGCGTCATTGAGGAAGGTGCCCGTGGGGCAGGTGCAGCCGTCCACAGGCACAAAGGAAACGCTGCAGGTGACGTCGGCCTCACTCAGGCCACGGCAAGTCGGCTGGCAGGTGTCCACCACGTAGGCGTAGCGCTGGGACTTGGGGCAGTTCTGCATGTACTTGGCTATGGTCGGTGGGGCCAGGGAGGACAGGTCAGCGGCCAAGCAGCCTGGCCAGCCCCCGCCCACCCCATCTTCAACTCAGCATCCCTGTCTGTGACGTGGCGATCGCAAGGATACGAGGTTCTTGCGAGGCTGGGATGAGGAGGCACAAAGCTCTGGGCTGAGAACTGTGTGAGTGACAGCTGCTGCCGGCCAGGGTCCCCCGAACCCCACACAGCGTGGACACATCCCCCCTCCAGTGCAGGCACTCACTGCAGACGCCGTCCCTCCAGCCGCTGAGCTGCACGCCCTTGGCGGCGCAGGCGTGCACATAGGAGGACAGCGCGGCGCACAGGCAGTCCTCGCTCCGCTCACAGTTGCAGGTGTCAAACAGGCAGTTCTGCGGAGGTGGGCGGGCATTGGGGCATCAGGGACCCCAGCCCGCCAGGGCTCCCCAACCCATCCTGCCCAGGGGTAGGGATCTGGCCTCATGGCCTCTTACCGAGTGGAAGGGCTTGGGGTTGATGACGGAGTGGCAGCGGGAGAAGGAGCCGGTGGGGTCAGTCAGGCGTGAGCACCAGTGCCGGGCGTAGTTCTCTGTGGGGAAGACCCGGCCCCATCTCCATGCCACAAAGCCCACGCCCCCGACACACCGGCCTGCACCCCCTCAGCCTGGGGAACAGTGAGCTGGAATTTGGGGCTTAGCTGCTGCGCCTTGGGGGATTCTGGCCGCCTGGTCCCAAGCACCTCCTCCCGATGCCTCCCACCCACCTCCATGGGGTCCCCAGTCCCCCCCGGGCTCCCCGTGGCCCAGGGGACAGGAAGGTGCTAGGTGGCACTTGAGCCTGGGGTGACTGTGGGGGTGGGGGTGAGGAGTACCATTCTCCACACTGAGGGAGCAGGGGTCCTCAAAGCTGTTCCTGGCATTGGTGCAGGCGGCCTGGGCCTTCCAGGTGTTGGCAAAGGCTGCGCCTGTGGCCTCCACCACCCCGCTGAGGGCTGCGAAGTCGTCAGCCTGGTTCTGGTTGAAGTTCCCACACAGGCCTGCGAGCCAGGGTTGGGGGATGTCAGCAGCCGCTGTTGGGCCCACCCGGCTCCCCGCCCCTGCCATCCCTCCAGGCACCACACAGGTGGAACGGCTGGGAGCCCTGTCCCAGGATTCTGCTTCCAGAACCCTCTGCAGATAGGCCCCAGTGGGGGGCAGCCCCTGTGCAAAGCTGGCCTGAGCCAGGGCAGGGCTGCCCGCTCCATCCTCCCAGCTGGTTGCTTCCGGGGCTGCCAGTCAGATGTTGGCATCCTGTGCTGGCGGCACCAGGGTCTCTGCCATGCCCTGGGAGCAGCCCTCTCTCTTGTCCCCTACCCGCCTCTGCCTGCCTCTCCCTGCAGCCTGGCACTAGTCCAGGCCCCGTCCCCACTGGCCCTGTCCCCGAAGGCTCCTGCCCAGCCTCACCGCACATCTGGCCCTGGTGGGTGGGGTCCAGTCTGACAAACACCTGCATGAGCGGCACCAGCTGCACCAGCAGCTGCAGCCCGAGGCCTGTGTGCACCACGATGAAGAAGCTCGAGGGTGTGAACAGGGTGATGTTGGCTGCCGGGAGTGTGGGAGAGAGGCCGGTCAGGGGTGCAGGGCCAGATCTGGCCAGATTGGAGGGGCAGGACATCCAGTGGGCCGGGCCACCCCACTGAGGCCCGGGAATGAGACCAGGAATGGCCAGGAGCCCTCATGCTCCCTGTCCCAGGCCTGTGGTGGTCAGGAGCCAAACACCTGCATGAGCGGCACCAGCTGTAGACCAGCAGCTGCAGCTCCGAGGCCTGTGTACCACGATGGAAGAAGCTCGAGGTGTGAACAGGTGATGTTGGCTGCCGGGAGTGGGAGAGGCCGCCAGTGCAGGGCCAGATCTGGCCAGATTGGAGGCAGGATATTCCAGTGGGCCGGGCCACCCCACTGAGGCCCGGGAATGAGACCAGGAATGGCCAGAGCCCTCATGCCCTCGTCCCAGGCCTGTGTGCCAGGAGCCCCCATGCTCCCCTGTCCCAGGCCTGTGGTGGTCAGGAGCCCCTCATGCTCTCTCTGTCCCAGGCCTGTGGTGGCCAGATTCCTCATGCTCCTGTCCCAGGCTCAGGTGGTCAGAGCCCCTGCTTTCTGTCCCAGGCCTGTGGTGGTCAGAGCCCTCATGCTCCCTGTCCCAGCTCAGGTGGCCAGGAGCCCCTCATGCCCCGTCCCAGGCCTGTGGTGGTCAGGAGCCCTCAAGCTCCCTGTCCCAGGCCTGTGGTGGTGAGCCCAAGCGGGCTCAGGTGGAGACGCTGGGCTCCCCGACAGAGGGGCTGAGCGAGCTGGATGTGGGTTCCCCACAGCTGCCTGGATGGGAGCCTGGCATTCCCACTCTGCAGATGAGAAACCGAGCACAGGAAGCTCTTGGAGCTGCCCAAGGCCACGGAGAGCTAGCAGGGGAAGGAGCGGACGCTGCCCAGATTGTGGGAGCTGCCCCTGCTAGGAGGCGCCACCCGGCCCAGCCGTCCTGGGAGAGCCACGTACCTGCCGACAGGGGCAGCTGTGTGTAGATGGAGTTGAGGAACACGCTGCCGTCTGCCTGGACCCGGATGGCCTGCGGGAGGAGGCGGGCAGGAGGTCAGCTCTGCGGAGGAACCTGTTCCCGACTCTCAAATGAGGGGGTGGCCTGCCCAGGGGCCCCCACTGGGGACAGCCCACAGGAAGCTCAGGCCTGGACCTGCGGTGGGCTCTGCATTTGCCCCCTGGGAGGGCCTGACCTTGGAGCTGGAGGGGGGACCTGACTTTGGGGCTGGAGGGGGACCTGACTTTGGGGCTGGAGCGGGACCTGACCTCAGGGCGGGAGGGGGACCCAACCTTGGGGCTGGAGGGGGGACCTGACCGTGCTCGCTCCCTGCACACCTTCACACACCCCTTCCTGTCCCAGCCCAGGGCCCCAGCCAGGCCCTTACCGTGTCCCCGCCGTCCATGCTAAGAGTAACTCACTGTGTCCCCGCCGTCCAGGCTGAGCGTCACGGCCTTCAGGCAGTTCTCATTGTCCGTCAGTCCGCACTTCCGCAGCTCAGCCAGCACGGTGAAACTACCATCAGCACATTTCTGGGGGAAGGACCCACGTGCGCATTGGGCCTGGCTCGATGATGTGGGGGTCCCCCAAAAGCGTGCTGGGGACGCCCATGTGGGGGATGTGGCTCTGTGGGGAGGTGGCCCTTGGCACCTCTGATCACCTCCCAGCAGCTTGTCTCAGGGCCTGGGGGCTTCTTGGCCCCGTGATGCTCAGCAGGGAGAACCACCCCTCTATGACCATCATGGGGACCCAGGGTTCCCCCCAGCAGGGACATCCGGCCCTCTATGACCATCGTGGAGGCCTCCCCTGGGCGGAAGGGGCGTGAGGATCCCCGGAGGGCCTGGGTGTCCGAAGACCCGGCCCTGTGCCCAGACCTTGGACAGAACGTAGCTGCAGTCGCCATGCAGGTCGTAAAGTTTCTCGTCGTAGGTGGAGATGTGGGCCCCACCCTGCACGGAGCAGGTGCCAGGGCACGGCAGGTCCTGGCACTGCCACAGCCCCCCAGAGCAGGTGCTGGGGAGGGAGGCCATGAGCAGAACAGACATGTCAGGAGGAGGTGGACCCCACCCGCCACACCCCCACCCCAGGCGGAGGCTGGCGGGTTCATAGGTACCAGGAGCTGCAGGTGGTGTTGACGGAGGTGCCTGGGCTGTAGGTGCGGCCACCGTGGGTGCAGGGGCACTGCCCGAGGGGCAGGCAGCCAGAGTGCGTGACATCATCCAGCACCGTGCCTGTGGGGCGGGGCGTGAGGCAGGACCGGCTCATGCATGGGGGACACCAAGGTCAGAAGACCCCAGCCTTGGGGACAAGCCGCCTCCCTCGGGGAGGAACTCCTGCTCCAGGACACCACCCCTGCCCTGAGCCCCACCTGCTTGGATGAACACCAAGCACCTCTGGGCCTCAGTTTCCCTACCAGACCCAGCTGGCTCATGGCACTGCTCTGCCTCCCTCCACACATCGTCGGGTCTTCCAGCACCCTCCCAGCCAGTGCCCTTCCCACCCTGGGCCCTCTGGTGGGACCCTCTGGCATGAGGGGCTCTGCTTCCAGGCGTGATAAGGCTGGGGGCGGGGCTGGGAACAGGGACCTGAAAGCCCACTGAGGGGGCCCAGGGCACGCGAGACCTGCCTGGGGGGCAGAAGCAGCCGTCCACGCAGTGGTCCTCGCAGAGCTGCGCGCGCTGGGGGTTGGAGCAGGTGTCCACGCAGGGTGAGCCACACTCCCGGTGCTGCATGTTGACGGGGCAGGTCCGGGCTGCACAAAAGGAGGTGGGGCTGGGCCAGAGGAAAGGCCCTGTACTGCCCTCGTGGTCAGCCCCAGCCGCCTTCCACCGCCTTCCACATGCCACCAAGTCCACAGAAGCCAGAGCTGGGCCTCAGGGTGTCCCTGATGCCCCTCATCATGGCAGCTCCTCCCTCCAGTCCCAGTCCCCGACACCTGCACAGCCTCTTCTTCTCCTGCAGCCCCCGGAGGCACCATCCCCTCCTGGGGTCCTGGGGTGGCCTCTGCCCACTATGCCTGGGGTGTGTCCTTTGCCCTCCATGCCTGTCCCCCAGGCCTCCCCACCTCCCATGGCCCCCAAAGCGCTCCCCCTGCCCCTTCTCTCCAGCGCAATCCTTGGCAAAGGCCCCGGGAGCACTCACGGCAGAGCTCAGGGCGCCTCCAGTTCTGCGGCTGGCCCCCCGCGTGGGCGCACTGGCGTGAGTATTCTACAAAGGTGGCGCACGGGCAGGTGGGGCAGCGGCACAGGTCCTGGGCGCAGGCAGCCAGGTATGGGGCACTGTCCACCAGTGCGTGGCACTCCGCAAAGGCCGGCCCCAGCAGGGTGTGGTGGCAAATGCCTTCCTGGGGAGCACAGTGGGCCAGGCTGGGCACCCCTGCCCTCCATAGGGGCTGCCACAGTGCTGGAACAGGACCCATGGCAGGCCAGGCTGGGAAGCCCTCTCCTCATCGGGGTTTCTTGTACCCAGCCCCATCCCTTCCACCCACTGTGGCCGTGTAGCTGCCAGTGCAGAGCTCTGCTTGGCCCTTGGGGAGTGACCCATGACTCTGAATCCCCCACCTGGGATGTGCCTGCCCACGGAGTGAGCGCCCAAGAAAGGTGCAGACCCCGCCCCCAGGAGGCGGAGCCAAGGAGGGCAGGTGCAGACCCCGCCCCAGAGGCGGAGCCAAGGAGGGGAGGTACAGGCCCCACCCCATGAGGCAGAGCCAAGGAGGGGAGGTGCAGGCCCTGCCCTATGAGGCGGAGCCAAGGAGGGCAGGTGCAGGCCCCGCCCCAGGAGGTGGAGCCAAGGAGGGGAGGTGGAGGCCCTGCCTCTCTGGGCAGCCTGGCAAGTTCAGGGCAGTCCAGTGCTGAGTGTTGTCCCTTCCCAGGCCCTGGGCTGCAGGCTGTGGGGCCCAGCTCCCAGGGGGGCTGATGCTGTCATTCAATGCACAATTTAAGGCTCAGAGATTCTGCTGATTTAGGGATCCTGGAGCCTCCAGGCCCTTTCTGAGTCCCCCTGCTGGTGGGAAGAGCTGGCTCCAGGCTCCCCGAGTACCCATCCTCAGTCCAGCCCATGCAGCACAGGCCTATGTTTGCTCGCACAGCTGGACACACACGTGGCCTGAGGAACACGCACATCACCACACTTGGACAGTGTGTACCGTGGAACTGAGCACACAGAGGGTGGCTGCCAGGCCTCCCTCCAACGCCACCATCTCTCCTCCAGCTGGGAACGTTCCTCAGACCTTGGCCTGGCTCCCCCTGGACCTGGAGGTCATCCCTGCCCAGGAGCGAGGGGCTCACCTCTGGAGGCCGACCCTGCCCAGAAGCTGGGGGCTGGGGGGAAACTCACCTCATCTGTGCAGTTGCTGGCCGGCAAGGGCAGCGGGTCCGGGCACTGCTCTGTGGGCCCATCCAACTTCTGCAGGTTCCCAAACTGGATCGGGGTCAGTCTGGCGTCTGCCGGGAAGAAAGCAGGAGTGTGGTGGCTCTGAGGGGATCCTGGGGACAGGGTATGGGCTCCCACTTCCTGAGTCCAGGCCAGAAGACTCCCACTCCTGCCTAGGGCCTGATGTGCCCGAGGGGTGCTCCTCCCACCATGTAGGGCACATCCCTTGTGACCCCTCCCTGCCCGGTGCCCGGTCCCCACTCCACCCCTCCCAGCCTCCATGGGACTGTGACCCTTGGCTGGCTGACAATCGGTCACCGCCCCCTCACCCAGGTGGCACTCACTGTGGGCATAGAACTCGTTGAAGGCTGGGAGGCCGTTGAAGTCCCCGCACAGGCCACAGGTCTGGTTGGCGTATTTGGGGTCCAGCTCCAGCTGAGAGTGGGGGAGGAGCAGCTCCAGCCTCAGGATTTCTGATCCCCCCACTGGCAACCTGCCCCAAGCCCAGGGACCCAAGCCCAGGGAGGCATCCCTCGACCCCTGTGGGGGTTTTGTAGCCAGGCCTGGAGGGGCAAGGGACGAGAGGGCTTCCTCACCAGGGCACTGTCCTCTCCATTCCACAGGAAGGTCAGGACCAGCCGGATGCTGACCTTGACATAGTCCCCGCTCTGCTCCACCAGGAGCCCAGTGCGGCTGTAAGGCAGCTCCTCCCTGCACAGATAGCTGGGTCTCTCCCTGGGCCCAGCCCTCCTGGCTGCCCGCCCACCCGCCCAACCCCACCCCAGCCCTGGCCCAGGTCAGACACAGCCGTGTGGGGAGGTCACACCACGTGGCCCAGCCCTCGCCTCTCCCCAGGGTGGCCGGCTCACCGCTGCCCATTGACAAGGACAGAGCCATTGGACGCCTCTAGCACCAGCCCCTGGGCCTTGATGACAACACGGGTGACCACAGGCCTGGAGCCCACCAGGCCTCGGCGTAGCTGGACGTTGAAGTCCTCATAGGCAGCGCCGCAGTGCTCGGAGAACACGTAGTTGCAGAGGCCGGGGAAGCGGAAGACGTCACCGTCGAAGGTCTTGTAGTGGAAGTCGCCCCAGGTGCTGCACACCCGCCCATTGTGTGCCGGGTTCAGGGCTGCGGGGAGCGTGGGATGAGGCCCGCCCCCATGCCAGTCCCCCACGGGGTGGCCTCCCCTGGGCTGAGGCGCCCTGGTTTTTGGCGCAGAAAAGCCCATGGTCGGCTGCTGGCTGTGCCCTGCCTGGTTCACCCTGGGCTGCCTTTGTTTCGCTCCAAGACCCCTGACCTGTCCCCATCCCCCAGGGCGGCCAGTGATCAGGAGACCGCCCAGAGGGAGGACTCTGGATCTGGCCCAATGGCCCCACCTGGTGGCAGCTGCACCCCTAGATCTGGGCCCCCACCTTTGGGGCTGGCAAACACCCCCTTCCCAGCCGGCAGGGACGGTGTCTGCTTACGGCTCAGGCTGGGGAAGACAGTGACGGGTGGAACAAAGCTCACACGCCGGGTGGGTGAGGACGTCGGGGCACCTGTGGGCGAAGTCCGGTCACCCCAGGAATGTGGCCAGGAAAGGGCAGCAGAGACACCCTCCCCGGGTCCCACCCTCCTCGCCAGCCACCAGAGTTGAAGGGGAGCCCGAAACTGATGGGCTGGGGGCAAGGCAGCCCCTTCACCCTTGGCGCTGTCTGCCCACAAACACTGCTGCCTTGTGTTTTGGCCTGTGTGCACACGTGTGTGTGCTGGTGCAAGTGTGGGCGCACGTGCGCCTGCACGTGTGTGCGTGTGTGTGTGCACGTCTCTCTGCTTTGCACTTTCCTCTTCTTTGGAGCATCCAGCTCCGCCTCAGGTGCCAGGCATTGTCCTGGGCAGGGGACCCAGGGAGGGTCTCTGTCGGACGCATGGCTGCTCGGAGAGGCATCTGCCTGCCCCAGCCCAAATCCCAGCACCTCCAGCCTGGTCAGGAACCCCCACCCGAGCCTGGCCACGTACCGCCATCTGTGGTGTGCCCTGCACTGCCCCAACTCGGCTCCGCAGGGCCCTGGGTCTCTGTGGGAAGAGGGGATGGGAGTCAGTGAGGAACCAGATGTGGCTGCCGGCCACGAACCTGACCGTGGACCCGGCCACATCCCTGGTGCGGCAGCCTCATGTGGGGTCCACGGTGACGGTCTCCACACTCCGCAAGGTCACCCGCATGGCACACTCTGGCCAAGGCCGGGACTCCTCCCCAGCCACTCAGGCCACCACAACCGTCAACCGCAGATGCCTCCCCCGCCACTCAATGCTATGGAAAGCCTTCGGGATGGAAGCTTCCAGCAGGGAGCCCTGAGCTGCCTCCGGCATGACCTGCACCTGTCCAGGGACCCCAGCCCTCCCCGACTGACATGCGGGGATGGTGCCTCCTTCTGAAGTGATGCGGGAGAAAATGGAATCAGGAAAAGGCGTTGGCCGCCCCAAGGCGGGATTCCGCCTCATCCCACACGTCCCCTGGAGAAGGACAAAGGCCAGCTTTGTTGGGAGGACACACTTGGAACCTTCCAGGCGTGACTTAGCAGAAACCTAAGCCCAGAGCCAGTTTCGATACCTAAGTCCGGGCAAGTGGGCGGGGTGGGGGCAGGCCTCGGGGCTGTGAGGCTGTAGATACTGGGATGGTGCCAAGGTCCCCCAGGCTGACCACCGACTCCGGGCAAGGCCTCACCCACCAGTCCCATGGAGGCTGGACTCTGGGCTGAGAGCCTGGGAAGAGGCAGCTCCAATCCCCAGGACTCTGAGGCCCCCTGTTCCCCTGGCCCCCAGGCCATTGTCTGCTCAGTTTGGGTTGGGGTGCCCCCTTCACCGGGCCCCAGAGCTCCTCCCTGGAGCCTGATCTGAGATGGCCCAGCCCAAACCTGTGCTTCCTGGGGAGGCGGGAGGTGAGGCCCCAGCCCCCACAGCACGGTCAGGGCTCAGTGAGGGGCCGGCCCCTGTGGTTTGCACTCTGGCCTGGCCCTTCCTGGCTTTTCCAGTCAGGTCCTGCTGACATCTGGGAACCACAGCAGGGGCCGCCTCCAGAGGTCCAGGTTGACTGCCTTTCCCAGAAGGCCAGCCGCTCCCTGTGTCCTCCACCCCAACCCCCAGCCCACAGCCCTGCCCACGTGTGCCGGCCCACTCAGCCACTCCCATGCACTGGCGCCCACCCCAGGCAGCCCCTCCCCACCCAGGCTGACCGCCCTTGGTCATCTGCTCCATGCCGTGCCCTCTTTGGACTGGGCCACCTGGGCCTCCATCTTGAGGCCAGAGAAGTGCCCACCACCAGCCATCCCATCACCCTGGGGTGTGTCCCCTAACGTGACGCCGCTCTGTGCAAGGCCCGCCTTGCCCCGGCCATAGGACGTGCATCTTGTGACTAAAGCACAGTCGCTGCTGAGGGCTTGATCTCCCCAACTTGGATGTGCATGGAGGACCGGAGGACGTGGGGGCTGACCGTCCCTGGGCCCTGCCTGCTCGGGTGAGGGGAGCCCAGGCTGCATGGCCTGGAAGAACTAGATGCAAGGATGTGGCTATTCTGGTCAAACCAGCACCCAAACCTTGTGGTCAGAGGCAGCTCCCCCCGGGCCCAGGCTGGGAGCCACTGGGGGAAGCCACCTACCTCCAGCCCTGCTGACCACCCAGCCTCCCTTCCACAGACAGAGAGAGCCGCCGGGGAGCCTCGCCTGCCCAGCCCAGACCCCAAGCTTGGGAGGGGGTGGACGGCAGGGCAGGGAGGGACTGCAGCTGCCTCTTGGCCAGCCCGGCTGGGTGTCTCCAGGTGGCCCCTGGGGCCGCATCTTTCTCTGTTGACAGTAAGTATTAAAGCTGCGGCTCTGGCCAAGAGATGGCAGACGAGGGAAAATGCTTGGCTGAGGGCCAGGCAGCCCGTGTGGCCTGAGATGCCCGCAGATGACCTGTGGGAGTCATGCGTGGGTTGAGGCCAGGGCTCTCGCGGCTGGCTGTGCAACCCTTGAGGGTGGTGCCCTCACCTGCCCTACCAGCTGTGATCCCCAGGCGGGTCGTGAAGGGCAAAGCTGGTCCTGGGCAGGGGCCCACACTAAGCCCACCCCTGCTTACTGTGATGCCTGGGCCTCACAGGGCTCCAGAGAGACCCGCAGCCGTGGCCCCCTCCCCCATTGCCCACTCCTGTGTCACCCCCAAGACCAAGACCCTTTCAGTGGTCTCCCAGGGTCCTTGCCCTGCGGTCAGGGGCCCAACTTTCCCTGGACATCCCATCCAAGCCAGTCCCTGAGTTCCCTGACACTGTGGGCCCATGGGGCCAGGGAGCTCTGTGTTGGGGACATGTAGGGTCCCATCGAGCTCTGTGTTGGGGACACATAGGGTCCCATCCAGGACACTCGGGATCCTAGGGGATCTGCCCGTCCACTCTGCAGGAGAAGCTCCCAGGCAAGCGGCCTGCAGAGATCCCCACCGTGAAGACGGCATCCTAGAGGGGGCTGAGTCGGGGGGCTCTTACCTGCCTGCTGCACCAGGAGCACGGCCGCCAGAGCCAACACCAGCATCCGGCATGTGCTCAGGGCACCCATCCTGGGGACTGGCACAGGTGGGGGGTGCGGACGGGCAGGGAGGGAGCCAGGCCGGGTGCTTGCTCCCCTGGGGGCCCCAGCTTATGTAGCAGGGAGTGTTGGCCCCAAGCCACGCCAGGCCACGCAGGGCACTCTGCTCTTTCCCGCGCCAGCCACGTGTGTTTGCTCTCGGGGAGGGGCTGTGGCAGGGGAGAGGCCTGGCTCAGGAGGGATTTGCAGCTCTGTGCCCTGAGGCCCAGGACGCCCCCACCCCCAGCAGCTTCTGAGAATCGGAAGGGAGAGAAGAAGGGCCCGTCCCGCCTGGCACCTTCCTAGATGGCAAGGCTGCTGGAGGGCAGGTTGGCCTTGGACACAGGGTCCCTGGAAACGGTGATCAGCCAGCCTGTCTCACACTCAGCCCCACTCCCCTCCACTGGGAGGGAACCCCAGCTTCTGGGCAGCTCCCCCAGCCGCTCACCATGGGTGCCCGAGGCCTGGGGAGGGCCCACGAGGCTGGAGCTCCTCTCCGGCCACTGCTCAGCCAGCGGGAAGGCCAGGAGGCTCCTGCTCAGCTTAGGCGTGCATGTGGCCAGGATGCTCAGTCTGGGTGGCTTGTGGGGGTCCCTGGAGGAGGCCCCATTTCTGGAGATCCCAGCCCAGCTGACCAGAACCCCTTGAAGACCATGGGAGGTCTCTGGGCTCATCTGTTTCAAGGTTCATGTTCAAGGGGAAACTGAGGCCCAGAGTGTCCCCTGGCCATGCACATCGGGAGTCAGCCGTGCTTGTCCAATGCCAGCCCTGGTCCAGCCAGGCCAGAGGCTCCAGCCCTGAGTCCCATTTGGCCTCCACCTCACTCTGGGCCCCTCATTAACCTTGGCAGGGTTGAGGAAGCAGCGGCTCCTGGAGGTCCGGGACCTGCCCGGGGTCCTCAGCCTGCCCCAGGTGGGAGCCACGGAAGCCTAGCACCTCACACTGGGGCTGGGTGGGCTTCCCGGGGGCCACGTGGTACACCTCCCCAACCAATGTCATCTACAGGACACTCCATCCGTGCTGCAAACACCTGCAAACGCCTCCTGCCCGTGTGCCCTGCACTTGAGACGCTCCCACCCTCTGGCTCCCTGGCCACCAGCGTCCTGAACGCTCCGTGGCATGGACCCTAGGCTTCCAGGAAGCACCAGGTCAGGTGGTGTGACCTTGTCCGACCCCACGGGGACCCTAGGTTGGCTTCCAGTCTGTTGTTTTGTTTGCGTAACAGTCCCCGCCACGGGGGCCCTGCACCAGCTCCCCCGCGTTTGTCTTTCTGAAGTTAAATTCTTAGAGGTGGAATTTCTGGGGCAAGAGGAAAGCCCATCTTCAAAGCTTCTGACCTGCCTCATGCTCAGTAGGACGGCGGGGATCAAGAAACACAGGAAGTAAGACGTGTTGGCAGAGACGTGGAGACCCGGAGCCCTGTGCCCTGCTGGTGGGGGTGACCAGCAACTCCACTCTGGGTCTGTCCCTGGAAGAACTGAAGGCGGGTCATGAGGGACATTTGCACCCCCATGTTCACAGCAGCATCACTGACAAAGGACAGAAGCTGCTCATGTGTCCCGGATGGAGGACTGGGCCAGCGTCATGAGGCCGATCCGTGCGGTGGAATAGAGTTGAGCCGTGAAAAAGAGAGGCTGGCCCAGGCTGCTCCACGAGGGAAGCTGGGGACACTGTGCCCAGTGAGGCAGGTGGACACAGAGGACAAAGGCAGGAGGGGCCGCTCGTGTGCTGCCCCTGGAGTCATGACACTCACAGAAACAGAGCATGGATCGTGGGCGCCAGGGGCTGGCAGAGGGGATGGGGAGCTGGTGTTTCATGGGGACAGGGTTTCAGCTTGGGAAGACGAGAACATTCTGGAAACGGAGGGTGGAGACACCTGCACAGCAACGTGAATGGACCTGGCCCATTTTGCCATCTGTCACCCCCTCATGGCTGAGGCCCCCAGGTGACTCCTCAGAGCACGAGGCCTGTGGTGGAAGCTGGGACCTGCCTTCTCCCTTTGTGGCGGTGTCTTTAACTCAGGGCACACCTTGGGCTTCTGCCTGGCCCTGTACCTAGGCTGGAGGAGGGGCCTCCCAGATCTCAGCACAGTGCAGACCCCTGCTCCCCGCTCACTTCCGGGACTCCAGAGCCTGTGCTCCCCCTACCCCACCGACATCCATTCCAAAGCTGAAGTTTCCGAGGTCTCTGGGGTCTCCAAGCTCTCTTTCATATCCAGGCCGGGAGTCCCCGCTGCAGCACGGCACTGCGGGAGGGGTGGGAGGGAATGCCTGGGCCAGTGGGCCTTGAGGATGGTCTAGAGGGTGGGCCAGAGCCCCCACCCCGGCTCATGACTGTGACTGCGCCCAGGCCCCAGCCAGACTCCTCTCCCTGGCCTACCTGCCTGCTCCAGGCCAGGCTGGGCAAATGGGGAGCTCCCTGACGCTGTGGCGCCTTGTCACTCGCACCTGGGGGGAGGGGTGTGCCTGCTGCCCGGGCCTCTGCTGCAGACGTCCCCACGACACGCCCACCCGGGTCTCCCACCTTGGCCACTAGCCCTCGTGGCCTCCCCACTCTGTGCCCGCGGCTCCAGCTCACAAGCTGATGCCCACCTGGGTGCTGGGGCCAAGCCTGGGGTCTCCCCTGCTGGCCCCTACTGCCTGTCCCCTGCCCTCCCTGACCACAGCCAGTGCCTGCGGCCTTCATGGGGGCTGGTGGCCCACTGGGGAGCAGTTCCCTCACCCGCAGCTCCAGCGGGCCGGGCACCTCTGCATCAGCGAGATAGCGTTTTCTCCGTGGCAGAGCTGGGACCCTCAGCAGCTCCCCTGTCCCAGCTCAGTGCCTGTGGTCCAACCCTCCCCGCCTCCACCCTGGAAGAGCCTCGCCCACCTGTGGCCACTGGCACGCAGTGACACCAAACAAGTGGGGGCCCTGACTCTGCCCTCATCCCTCCCACTAGGCACCTCCCCGGGCAGTGCCTCCCACTAGGCAGTCCTCCCTTGGGGACTGGGCTGGGTCCGGGGCAGGGGTCCGAGGTGGACGTCAAGGCCACAGCTATTGAGACATCCCGGATGCGGCCCCGGGAGTCCGGCCTGTTTGCTCAGTGTGTTTGAAGAGTTTGCGTCTTCACAGTTGAAGGCGCTGAAAACAAGAGATAAAGGAAGGAAAGGGACGCAGCCGGTTCCTGCCGGGAAGGGGGGCCGGGCACAGCCTCCTGGAGCGCAGAGGAGCCTCCCACCTCAGACGTGCCAAGAACCTGCCCTGCGGCTCTGACGGGGTCTGAGCCAGGACCAGCCCTGGGCGGGTCACTGTCCATCATCTGGCCAGGGGGTAGTGGGGACAAAGGGGCGGCCTGGGTGACACGGAACCCAAGGGGGATTAATCCCGCCATGAATGAGGACCCGCCTGGGACCCCACAAACCTCTTCAGAGGCTGTCCAGGCACCAGTGGTCAGAGCCACCATCTGCTCTCACCAGCTGCCCCAAGCCCAGCCCCTCAGCCCTGAGGGGCCACCTGGAGGGCTTGGTCACCGCAAAGAGTCATCCCTGGGTCTGGGGTCCCCATGTGGCTCAGCCTTCCCCTCCCCCAACCACAGCGATGCAGGTTTGAGCCAGGCCCCAGTGTCCATCAGCTCCCAACTGAGCCAGACCCTAGGGTCCGTCAGCTCCCAGGCACTGAGCCGGGCCCCCGTGTCCATCAGCCCCTGGGCACTGAGCCGGGCCCCAGCTCCACGCTGGACACCTAGGATGTCAGGCACAGCCCAGGGGGTCACAAAGCAGGGATGGACTCTTGGTCTGCTCAGAGCCAGGCCCCAGGCTGTGCTGGGGACAGGGGGTGGTGGCTGTGTGGGACTCTCCACCTCGGCAGCCTCCTGCTCCCTGGCACAGGGGCCTCCCCCAACTCCTGGCCGCACCCACGCTCCTGGGGGCGCACCTGCTGATAGGCCGAGGGTCCCAGTGTGTGACCGAGCACAGCAGGTCCAGGGCTGGGTGGGCCCAGTAGGAAGGTGTTCCAGGCCTCGGGGCCCCTGGCGGGTGACGGGCTGCTTGCTCCGGGGTGTTGGGATGGCCAGGCCCCTGTCCCCTGGCCCAGTACACCTGAGGAGGTGTCCAGCAAAGCCCAGGGGTCTCAGACCCAGTGCCTGGTGTCCAGAAGCAGCAGGTGGGGGCCCATTGGGTCTTCATGGCCCTTAGACCCAGGCCCACTGAGCGACAGGCACGACTGGGGGCACCGAATCACCTGGCAGGAAGTGAAGCTGCCGGATGGCAGGACCTGGACATCCCAGTGCCCTGAGCTGCCCCTGCTCTAAGGATGCCCTGCACAGGGGCTGCAAGACACGGAGACCCCCCCCCCAGTATGGCCCCTGCCCTGTGTGAAGGCCTCGGCTCCCCCACCACCTGTCTCTGGTTTCTCCTGGTCTTTGCACAGACCCCCTTCTCTGCCTGTCTCCCCACCCACTTCCTTCCTGCCAGTTCTGAGGAGCCCCAGCTGGGTCCTGGTGCTGCCCTAGGCAGTGGGATTTGACAAGGACTAGAACAGAGTCCCCCCCCCCACTTCGAGGCTTCCAGTAGCGTGTCCTTTGCAGCAGCAGCACCAGCTTCCAAGGAACGAGAGAGGATGGTCCTCTGGGTGGGGTGGGGGGGATGACCGCTGAGCTGCAAACCAGGGAACAGCAGGTTGGACTGGGCCCCCTGGAGGGTCCACATGCACCTGGTGTGACTGGGGCACAGGGGGCTGAGAGGAGCCAGAGGTGAGGGCAGGGTCAGGTGTGGGGAGGAGCCTGGGGGACTGGGGCGAATTGATTGCATCATTTAAAGCAGGAAAACTGTAGGACATTTTTCTAAAAGAGTGATGAAATGTATGTGACTTAACATTGACCATTTTAGCCTTGTTTATTTGCTTATTTATTTATTTATTTATTTTTGTAGAGACGAGGTCTCACTCTGTTGCCCAGGCTGTCATGAACGCCCAGCCTCAAGCGATCCTCCCACCTCAGCCTCCCAAAGTGCTGG